GGGCCAACTTCACCCGGCTGCCAGCGACGTCCCGATACTGCATCGCTTTCCGAACCGGCGCGGCCGCCGTAGCCGCTCTCGCGGGCCTCACCATCGACACCGGGGATCTGTCCCCGGCATTCGATCCCAAGGTCTTCAACTACTCGACGACCGCCCCGCCGGGCACTACTGCGGCGAGCCTTGACTTTATTCCGGGCCCAATGTTGTCCTCGGTTAGCATCCAGGGCGTTCCCGTGGCGCTTGACTGGTCGCGCGGCGCGGCGCGCAACAACGCGCACACTGTGACCCGGTTGACCCCCGGCTGGAACATTATCGCCGTGGAAGTGACGGCGCCAAACGGCTTCTCGCTGACGTCATACACGGTGGACGTCTTTGTGGCATCGCCGTGCCCCAAGGGCCACCCAAAAAAGCCGCCCGCGGCCGCGTGCCTGCTGAGCCTTTCCCCCGACGTGGGCCCGGTGACCGGGGGGACTAGAGTGGCGCTCCAATTCCCGGCCGGTCAACTGCCAGTCTCTGGGAACTGCTGGTGGTGCTCCCCGAACTACAACCGATTCCAGCCCGCGATCAATGCGAAGAATCCAGTCTGCAACTTCGGCGGGCGCAAGGTGACGGCCGAGTACGAGAACTGGAGCAGCACGAGCATTGTTTGCTACGCGCCACCCTGGGATGGGGCGGCCGCAGTGGACGTGACCTTCAGTCTCGACGGCACCACGTTCAGCGCTGCCGGCGGACGTTTCTTTTACCACGGTGAGTCAATCTCACATCCGCTGATCAGTTTGTCCAAAGATCGAAACCTGTGTTGTCTCCTGTCCGTACATCTGCAAACGAACAGGTTTGCCAAGGCAACTGAAGCCACAAAAGGATTTCAATTGTGTGCTGTTCTTGGGAGCTGCGAAGGTAGAATAGTGATGATCTTGCAATCTGAGCCCGCTGATCAGCAAGCTTCTCTACAAGTGGCTCTTTAAGCTTCATGCATCTGAATCCTTACACCTCTTGGTAACGTAATCTTGCCTTTCAACCGCCGGTCCTATGCAACGAGTCTAGGTGCTTCAGTTCCCTTTACATCACACTCACTTACGAGGCTCCGCTGTCTGCACTTCGTGTCCCGATGTTTTAGTCCCCAGTCCTTTAATCTTTCAGCTTCTTCGACTTTCTCACGATCCTTTTCCTTCTGCAGCGCCCTACTCCCCCGGGAACTTGACCACGGCGCCGTCTACATTACGGGTGGCCACACAGTTCGACGCAATCGTTCCCCTTACTGGACCTTCATTCCCCAGCAGCTACAAGAACTTTGCTGCACTGCCAGCGCAGTGCCGGATCTCCTATATGGGGACCACAGCGGCGCTTTACATTCCGCCCAGCGGAAACTCAACCACGCCGTCCTTGCGGTGCCGGCCGGTTCTCTGGTCGTACATGTCCCCAGGGACATATAACCTTGACGTCAGCATTAACGGGTTCGACTTCGTACCCGTCCCCCAGCCCATCACATTTCTCCCCCGGGACTCCTCGGCCAATGAGATGAGCTACACGTGGTTTCAAAGCCCCGGCTCCAAGCTGCTGCCGGCAACCGACGCTTACTGCGTCGGTTATGACATCAGCCCGGAAGCGGACAACGCCACGCTCTACAACCTAGGCCTCGGACGTTTGGATATGAAACCCGCATACAGCGCCGACGTCCACTTCTACTCCGCGAGCGCGCCCTACGACGCGCGCGTGCTTGAGGTCGCGGCCGCGCCGGCCGCCGCGGGCGCGACTGTCGTGGTCAACGGGCGCGCCCTGGCTGGCATGTGCGCCAACGGAAAGTTTGGGAACAACGTCATAACGGTACCCGTCTTGTATTCGGGGGTGCAGACCTTCACTGTGGAGGTCACAGCCCTCAACGAAATCAACCGAGCCGTTTACACGATCAGCGTCGACGTTGCTCCCGAGCCGCCCTCGGTGCCCTGCCCCCGAGGGTATGCTCCCCAGCCGCCAGGCTTCGCTTGTCTGCAGAGCCTCTCCCGGGGCTTTGGACCGACCGCCGGCGGCACTGGGGTCGTTCTCCGTTTCCCCTGGGGCCAGGCGCCCCCTGCGCTCGGCAACTGGATGTACGGGCAGCAGTCAGCTGGGCCCACCAAGCCCCCGGTCTGTTCTTTCGGCGACAGCCGGGTGGTTGGGAGCTATTTTGGAGACGGAATCTTCTGTAACGCCCCCGCTTTGGTTGCGGGGTCGGGTTCGCAGACCGTGCCGGTGACCTTCAGCCTGGACGGGGTCAAATTCAGTACAAGCGGGGCAAACTTTACATACTACTGTAAGTCGAAATCATCCTCTGTCTTGGGAAAGACCTTTGAAACTTGCTTTTGCCAAAATCCAAGAGTTTGGTTCAAGACAGTTTTGTCATTATGGCTTCCAGCAACAAGGTCCTCTCCTCGCGTTTCATCCCGCTGATTTGTCTAGCCTCCAGTCGCTGGTATTTGCTACTTGACATTAAAAGCTACAGAAGCCAGAACTACAGAAGCCTGGCGGGTTCATCATACTTGAGGATAAGTCTCACCTATTCTGGATGTTTCGACACTTGACTGTGCAGGATCCGACCTTCCAATGGTCTGAAAAAGCTTCTGCAGAAAAAGGCTGGGCTTCAATTAGATGATGGAAATTTTTCGACATAGAACGGAACCGACAAGTCTCAAGCATAGAGAAATGATGCGGAGTACGGATGCTCGTCTAGATTTCAACCACGTGCGCAGCTTGATTACGATGATAACTTACATGTGGCCGAGCTTCCATCGGCTCTTCATGAAAGGAAAATTTGAAGTCACTTCATTTGCGTTCAAAGACAAGATGTGCAGCAACTCACTCATCTGCCATTGGTAACCTGCAGCTCCTTTCTCGGCGACCTCTTTCGATCCTCCCCTTGGGAGCGTCTCCACAGGTTCCATCTTCGAAGCGACCATCCTTTTGGACAAGCTCGTATATCTGGACAACGCTGTCGATGCGGCCGCTGTTTCTAGCTCCGCCTCGTGTAATTGCGACGGGGTAACCACGCCGGCGACCTACCTGCCCCCCGGTGGAAACCGCAGCCAGCCCGCGCTGCGCTGCAATACCATGGCAACCTCGGCCGGAAACCTATACCTCAGGGTCTCTCTAAACGGGTTCGACTACGTGACGGTGCAAACGCCGATCAACGTGCTGCCTTCCGACGGCGCCTGGCAGTCCCCAAACCGCTACGAGCCGACCGCGGCCGCGCGCATGCTCGCGCCCGGCCTCTGCGTGGGCTACGCGGCGGGCCCGGGGACCGCCGACGCGTCGCTTCGGGGCCTGGAGCTCTCTCCAGGGGCGACCATGCTCCCCAGCTTTGCCGGCTCGGTGCTGTTTTACACCGCACAAGTTGGCTGGGACGTCCGTCAGGTGAACTTCACCGTCGTACCAAACGTAGTCGGGGCGACGGTGTCCATAAACGGCGCGCCGCTCGGCGTTTCCTGCGCGGGCGGCGCGATCGCGGGGAACGTCTTCTCGGCGCCGGTTCTCTTCACCGGCCTCAACCGGTTCACAATCGTGGTGACGGCACTCAACGGCTTCAGCCAGGCGACGTACCAAGTGGACGTATACGCCGCGGCAGCGCCCGTCGCGGCCGCGTGCCAGCGCCCGTACGCGGCGCAGCCCGTGACCGCGTGCCTGCGGAGCGTGACCCCGGGGCTGGGCCCCGTTTCGGGGGGCACCCAAGTCCGCCTCCAGTTCCCCCCCAATCAACTGCCTCTGGGGCCCGCCACGTGGTACAATCAGTGGACGTTTGGGACGGGTGTCAAGCGGCCTGTATGCCGCTTTGGGGCGCTGACGACCGTCGGAACGTACGGCTCAGACGGCGTTTCTATCACGTGCGCCGCGCCCGCATGGCCTGACAAGTTCCGGCCAGAGACGGTGCCGGTGTCATTCAGCCTGGACGGATCGACATTCGCGGAGCTGGGGGCGACTTACACCTACCACAGTAAGTTTCTTCTTGCACATCAATTTCTTTTTTCGAACATCACTGTCTGGTTGCAAGCTGCGATGGTTTCGATCAACATGGCAACTTGAGTACGCACCTCTTTGATGACTGTTCAAATTCAAACGTCAAGCTATGGAAAGCTTTCACATTACTCATTTCGTTCCCTTGATATCGATTTAGCGACCGTTGAGCAGCTTGCTTGATCCTGGCTTTCAGCCCTTGTAACCCTTCAAATTTGCGCAAAATGATTCATTGCAAAGACGAGAAGGAAGGAAGACTTTGGCGCTCCTTTTATGGCTGCGTGTAAACGTTTGTTTGCTATTGAAGTAGGGAGTCGAAACACTCTCAAAATTAAGGAACAAGAGCTGCATCGCAAGAGGTTCAAAAATTTGCACCTTTCTCTAGACCCAAAACTTCATTCGCTCTCTTGTCGTTGTCCCAGGTGTATTCCAGGCGGGCCCTGTCCTCGGCCTGCCTTCCCCGGCCTACACTGGGTACCCTCTCCCAGTCGTGGTCCCCCTCACGGGCCTCATCTTCCCGGCCAACTTTTCCACCACCGATCTCCTCACCACCTCTGCTGAGTGCACTCTCCAAGGAGGCGGAGGACCGGCCGCGACCTACCTCCCCTCACACAACGACTCAACCGGGCCTGCTCTCAGTTGTACCGTCCTGGTGCCTTGGTATTACCCTGACTTTTACTGGCAAACGTCCTGGACCCTGGCCGTTGCCTCAACGGCCAAGAATTCGTTTCCGTGCAACAACCAATCAGCTTCGCGCGTCCCAACGTCACGAAGTACGACGGATGGAACTATCTGAGGTCGTACGTCAACCCGGGTGTGCGGTTACCTGCCTCGCCGGCTGTGTGCGTCAACTACACCACCGGAGGCGCTTCCATGAGCGCCTCCCTTGCCAACATATCTCTGAACGCCATTCCGCTACTCCCGCCCTTCGATCCTTCCGTCCAAGTCTATTCCGCCAACGTCTCGGCGGACGTCTCCCAGGTGAACGTCTCAATCGTCCCCGGCGTTCTGGGCTCGAGTATCAAGGTTAACGGGACGCTTTTGCAGTACGGCTGTGCAAACGGCACAGACTGCAACAACACCGCAACTCTGCGAATCTCATACGCCGGCCTCAACACTTATGCAATCACCGTTGACTCCCCGAACGGCCTGAATCAGACGGTCTACCAAATTCTGATCTACTCGGCGCCCGCCACTGACATTTGCCGCCGCCGGCCCTTCCCGCCGCCTGCGCGCACGGCCGCGTGCATTAACGGCGTCGCAACGTTCGCTGGCCCGACGACCGGGGGAACTAGAGTGGGAGTTCATTACCCCTACGGTCCGCTGCCGTCAGCCAAAGCCGCTTATTCCTCCGTTGGTATAGCCCGCTTGAAGCCGCCCACGTGCGCCTTTGGTGAGACACTTACTGTCGGATCGTATGCCTGGGAGGGGGATTATATCACCTGCTACTCACCCCCTCAAGACGAGCCTAGGACCGTGGAGCTGCGGATCAGCTTCGATGGGAACACCTTTACCGCCTCCGGGCTGACGTTCTCTTACTACGGTGAGACAAGCTTCCTTACTCTAGTTGTGCGTAGCTCGCAAATATTGGAGCGTACTCATGTGCTTCCTTCCTTCAACGAATTTACGTTGTTCTAGGAAATTTGGACGTCTAAGAAGGAAGCTTCTTACTTGAAACTCGTCTCGTCACTCTGACGATGACTTCAATCAGGGTCACAAAACGCGTCGAGCGGACTGGTCTCAAATCGTTCCCGTGCTCCGGATCAGCATGCCCATCTGCCTAGAATCAAATATTATGATGGATTTGACCCTACAGGGGTAGGTAGCAAGGTCAAGCTCAGATTTACCCTGGGCCGCAGACAGGCCCAAACCAGATTCTGGAGTTCTGCCTAAGTTTTATTTTTCAGCAACTTCGCCCCGAACTCAATTCTGCTTAGCCATATTTTGAATTTTGAGTTCTCCGAGGATATTAAATCACCCGGTAGAACCTTGAAAGGACTTAAGCCGTCCACTTGCAAGAAGGAAGTATTGGACGTTTCGGAATATTGATTCAGCGTAATATGACCCTTCTTCAATCCAGTCTTAGGAGGACAGAGTGGCGAGCGAATGTTAGCGGCTCCATCTGGACGAGCTGCTGATTCGGATTCTTGATTCTTTTAATTTCAAAGAATGGCAAAGAAGCATTTGCTTTCTTACCTTGCTGGTACTAGTCTCTGGTTTCAATCGCTCTGCTCCGTCTTCTTCTCTGTTTTGTAAAATCTCTTACGTTTTGTTGAACGAATCGTAGAAGTTTGCGAGAGATTGTCTTCTTCGAGCCGACCAATCTTGGTTCCTTATGGATCTATTGCCCACTCTTAGAAACACGCCTTGAAGAGTGCGGCGATTGTTTTGTATGTTGAATCTGTGGCCTCGCACTTTCGACTCGCCGTTCTCATTGCTGTCACGCACAGCTTCAACTCTCACTTTATTTCAAATTGGCTGAGCTCTGCGTCACGACAGGTCTTCATAGCCTGCAAAGTCTGAAAAAAAGCAACAACACATCAGCTTTAGCTTTGCTCTGCTTCACTTCATGCATAGCTCCCCGGCACGATTGCTTCCAACCGTTCAAACTCTGCGCGCAGCGCCCTTCGAGGCCCTGTCGGTCACCACGGAGCCCGCCGCCCTCTACGTTGGGGCCATCTTCAAGGCGCGCGTCTCTCTGACGGGGCCCGTCTTTGGTCCGGCCTTCACCGACTTCGCCGGCGCCGACCAAACCGGCCGCTGCCAGATGCCGGGCAGCATCTCCCGGGCTTCTTACGTTCCCGCCAACGGAACCGGCGGACCGCCGTCCCTTTACTGCGAGGCCCTCGTCCCGTACTACTTCGGCGCCGGGCAGTACTCTCTCCAAGTGTCGCTCAACGAATGGGACTACGTGCCCGTCCCCCAGCCGCTGTCGTTTGCGCCGTTCAACGCCAGCGGGTCTGGCTATAACCGGCTCCCTAATGCGGGCGTCCGCTGGCAGTCCAATGTTCCGTACAACGAGAGCCTCTGCTTAAGCTACCCGGTTGGTCCCGACATCGACGACGCGACACTTTCGCAGCTCGCTTGCGATCAAGGGGGCCTTTCCCCGGCCTTCGACCCCAGCGTTTTTGCGTACACTGCAAGCGTTCCTTCGAACGTCACCCAAGTCTTCCTCACCTTAGCGCCAGCTGTCATCGGGGCGACCATCACCATCAACGGCTCACTGTTGGCGGTCGCCTGCGCCGACGGATTCCTCGTCAATAGCACGATCACGCTCCCTATCGCTTATGCGGGCGCGAATAACTTCGTGATCGAGGTGACGGCCCTCGACGGGATCCACCGCGCGCTCTATTCCGTTTCCGTTTTCAGCGCGCCGGAACCGGGGCTTGTAGCGTGCCCCAAAGCGTACGCGTCCCAGCCGCGCTCCGCCTGTATGCAGAGCATCGTTCCGGTGGTGGGCCCCATTTCCGGCGGAACAACAGTGACCATCCGCTTCCCCTACAACCAGCTCCCTCTCGGCCCTGTAAACTGGTGGGACTGGTGGAGCAACTCGAACTACGGCTCCGGTGTGAAAAAGCCCGTGTGTCGCTTTGGGAGGTCACTAGTCACTGGGGCTTATGGAACGGACGGGACTAGCATCACGTGCGTGGCACCCCCCTGGGACGAGACTGCTCCGTCGAGGACGGTGGCGCTCTCCTTCAGTCTGGATGGCGTTTCGTTTAGCACTGCTGGAGCCAATTTCCACTATCACGGTAAGATTGGCTTGTTTCAACCAAAAGCGCTGAATCTACTTGCGTCTGCAAACAATGTACTGTCTTTGATACTCGCTCAATCGCTTCAAAAGGCTAGGGCAAATGCAGGATCTGCTTCCTTTTCCCTTCAATCTCCGACCTGCTTGCCGCCCCAACTCTTGAGAGGTGGAAGCACTGTAGACCCAAGTCCATAAATACCTTGATCACAGGGTGCGTGCTTTGTTGCTGCCTTCAGGACGATTCAAGCCGCTTCACCTTACCATTTTTAGCCACCTTTCAACTGAGAATTGTTTAACGTTTGTTCCGGATGCAGAAAGAGATGACGACTCCAGTCGCTTCCCGCTGATTCTTGTGTATCTCTGCCTTCAGTTCCCTTCACAGCCGCGGCTGTTACGGCTCCCCGCGTGCCAGTCAGCCTCGGCTCCCTCTTCGAGGCCCTTGTTCCGCTGGACAACGCGCCGTTTGCAGCGGACTTCACCGACTACGCCGGAATTTCCGCCACGGCGACCTGCGACATCCAGGCCTACCCGCGAATGCCCGCCGTCCTCATTCCCCCTGGTCCCAACCAAACCCTCCCAGTCTTCCGCTGCGTGGGCAACTCTCAGTTGGGGATTGAAGTCGGAACCTACAACCTGCACATCTCCCTGACCGGCCAGGATTCCGTAACCGTTCGCAAACCGATCGTTTTCTCGGCGCCCGGTGGCCCGCCCGTCGGCGACACCGGCTTCTATGCAAACGCGCAGCCGCGGCCGCTCCCGCCCTCGCCCGGGTTCTGCGTCAGCTACCTGGTGGGCGCTACGTCAGCCAACGTCAGCCTGTCCGCTCTCGCATTTTCGGAGGGCCTGTTCCCTGCCTTCGACCCGGGGCTCCGCAGCTACTCTTCCCGAGTCGCCTTTAACGTCACCGAGGTGACCATCATCGTGCTTCCGAGTGTGGTCGGGGGAAGCGTGAGCGTCAACGGACGGCCTCTGGGCGTCACTTGCGTCAACAAGACGATTGCCCACAACGTGTTTACGGCTGCCGTTCCTTACGCAGGGAACAACAGGTTTACGGTTGAGGTCACGGCCCCCGACGGCATCAACCGGGCGGCTTATACCATAGACGTATACGCGGATCTTGCCCCCGTGCCGGCGGTCTGCCAAAAGCCGTACGCGCCGCAGTTTACCACCGCGTGTTTGCAGAAGATTTACCCAGGGGTTGGGCCCACGACCGGGGGAACCCTGGTCCAGCTTCAGTTTTCCTCGGGCTCTTTCTCCTACCTGTACTCCGTGCCTACCGTTTACTCGCCCGGGGACTGGCAATGGCGGCAACTGTGGACGGTGAAGCAACCGGTGTGCGCCTTCGGCAATCAAACGGTCCCGGGGACGCTTAATGGCGACTCTGCGGTGACTTGCACGAGTCCCCCCGCGGCAAACGGAGCCCCGGAAACGGTAGCGCTGACGTTCAGCCTTGACGGACGGACCTTCTCTTCAACAGGCGCCACGTTCACATACCACAGTAAGTGAAAGCCCCGTGTTTTCTTGTGCAATTTGAAAACGATACTCTGCCCATTTTTCGTTCCAGCTTCAAAGTGTTTGTGATAAGCGTTTCCAGTTCGACAGTAAATCAAAGAATAGACGAGCTAACCTGTCAATATATATTCTTGCTGTCAATTCCGCCAATAATAGCTTCTCAACGTCTAAGTTTTTCTCTGAAAAGTTGCCGGCTGTTGTTTCGCGAACTGACGTCCCCAAGGTTTTATGTTGCACAAAAAGTGTGAATCAAAATGTCCAACTTTGTTCAACCAGCACTCAATTTGAATCATCTCGTGCAGCCCCCTATCAAGCGGTTGGGTTCGACGGGCTACCATCAACCCTCTACCTCGGGAAAGCGTATCAAGTCCACATCCGCCTCCAAGGACTCTTGCTCCCCGACGCATTCACCAACTTTGACCTCATCTCCCTGACTACCATGTGCCAATTCGAGGGCATGCGGACCGGCGCCGCGTTCCTCCCAGGCGACGGGAATGGCAGCGACCCCATGGTGTCCTGCGCTTTTTTGGCGCCCGGTTACTTCCAGCCCGGCCCACACAGCCTGAGCCTCTCCCTCACCGGGCAGGACTTTGCGACGGTGCTCCAGTCCCTTGTTCTCACCACTCCAAACGACACCTCCTCTTACTACTACTGGTGGTCGTATCTCCCCGGGCCGTATTACAACCAAGGCCTCCAGCTTCCTTCCTCCGCGGGCTATTGCGTCTCCTATTCCTCAGCGCCGGACGCCCTAAACGCAAGCCTGACTAGTCTGGATCTAGGCGGAGTCGCTCTCTCGCCCCCGTTCAGCCCCAGCATACTCCAATACACAGCATCAGTGACGTCAGCCCTGGACGCTGTAAACGTCACCCTACTCCCCGCCGCGCTTGGCGCGCGCGTGCGTGCGAGCGGCGGGGTCCTGGAGCCCGACTGCGCAAGCGGCGCGCCGGGTGGTAACGCCCTCGTCTTTCCGGTGCAGTACGTCGGAAAGAATAACCTGACCATCGAAGTGACGTCAGCCAGCGGCCTCTCACAAGCGGTGTACTACGTCAACGTATACGCGGCGCCCGCCGATCGCACGTGCCAGGTCAAACCGTATGCCCCGAGCGTCCCGCGAAGCGCGTGCCTGCAGAGCATCTTTCCGTCGTCGGGGCCCGCTTCCGGCAGAACGCGCGTCACTTTCAACTTCCCCTGCGGTCAGCTCCCGAGTAACATGGGCCGGGACGGCTTTTGGGATGTGAAGCTGCCCATATGCTCCTTCGGCGGTCGGCAGGTTACGGGGATGTACGACTGGGGCTGGGGCTGTTCTCTTTGGTGCTCGTCTCCAGCTTGGGATCAAAACGCTTCGGCGGAGAGCGTGGAGGTGACGTTTAGCTTTAATGGGGGCCGTACGTTTAGCAAAGCCGGGGCCATCTTCTCATATTACAGTGAGTATCTGCAAATGCATCAAGGATCTAGAGCTGCACCTTCGTCGCCAACACAAAGGTCATGGTTTGCAGCGTTCACTGACGATGGTGACGATGTTGTTGCCCGAATCGGACTTCCCCTGTGACTGGTAAACTGGAGCTTCCAAGACTGCCGCTGCGTGCAGACTTGCCTGCATCTGAGGCCTTTCTTTTCATATCAGCAACCTTATAGAAGGTTATACTTCTTGGATGTTTATAAGATACTCAAGAGGTCTGCTGTTGCAGTTGCCAATGGTACATTCTTCTGATTAACAATCATATCGAGTTGTCTCAAGCTTTCTCCTTCGCTTAAGCCAATGAGATTGCAATTTAATTCTGGCTTGCAGGTTTTTCTCAGATGCATGAGTTGTGAACTGCTCTTTAATTCGTCTTATGTCCTCCTTTTTGGGGTTGCAGTGCATTGAGGCCTAACAGACTTTCTGAACTTCCAGACACTTCCAGACTTCTGAAGATGCTAGCTTGAGCATTCAGGTGTGCCGCCAAACCAACAATCCTTGCTCGTTTCGCTCTTACAACGCTTGACTCGTCTTTGCAGTTCCCTTCAACCCCACCTTGAGCAGCGTCCCTGACGCGATCGTACTGGGCACGACTTTCTACATCGAGGTCTCCCTGAGCGGGCCCGTCTTTGGCGCCAACTTCACTGGTTACGACGCCTTCGCCCCCGCCTGCCGCCTGCCAAACTTGTGGGGCCTGGTCGTGCCCGCCACCTTCATCACCAATGGAACCACCCCGGCTCTGGGCTGCACCCTGGCAACCCAGTATTACATGAACCCCGGCTCATTCATACTGGAGGTTTCTCTAAATGGGTACGACTTTGTGGCCTGCCCAGAGCGGCTAAATATAGTTCCCTCTAACAACACCAACTGGAACTACAATTGGGTGCCCGGCTGGCAGTCCCCGCCCGCGCTGCCGAGTGCCCCGGGCCGGTGCGTACCGTTCGTGGGCGATCCGGAGAATGTGGACGCGAGTCTGCTAAGCATAGTGGTGGGGAACGAGACGGTCCCAAACCCGGTGCGCATTTTCCCCATGTTCTTCCAGGCGGATTACATGCAGAGCAGCGCGTACTTCGGAACGGTCCCTGCGGCTGCGGATGAGATCATGCTCACGGCAGTGCCGGCCATAGCCGGCGTTAATGTGACGCTAGACGGCGTTCCTTTGGCGCTGTCTTGCGAGAATGGAGAGCTCGCGGGCAACTCGATATCGGCGGCCATCCCTCATTCCGGCCTCAACTGGTTCCGTTTCTATGTCACCGCCCTGGACGGAATCCACGAGCTCGGCTACCGCCTCGACATCTTTGCTGAGCCGCCGCTGGGACCGGGGTCGTGCCCGCGGCCCTACAAGCTGACGTCACAAACCAGCTGCCTCCAACGGCTTTCGCCTCTGGTCGGACCTGTGGCGGGGGGCACCCAGGTCTTTGTGGGCTTGTCTGGCGGTCTGCCCTCGTTCGCAGCCAACTATTACTGGGGCTGGGGCTCCGACTCCGGTTCTCAATTCAAGCCGCCCGTCTGTAGATTTGGCTCCCAAGCAGTGAACGGAACGTACACTCAGGGGTGTTCCTCTGGCTGGTGCGGGGGGGGCGTTCTGTGCGACACTCCCGCAGTGAAAGCCCCGATGGGCGGGCAAACTGTGCCGGTCACGATCAGCTTCGACGGAGCAACTTTCACCGCAAGGAATGCTACTTTCACGTATTATGGTAAGGAGTCAATCTTTGTCCGGTTCTTTTTCTGCTGTGTTCTGCTAAGCTCAAGCTTCGACTTTGTTTTATCAACAAGCTTGGATCGGTATGCGAAAAATTTGCAGAAGAACAAATTTTTCGTACGAACCCAACATGCTAAGAAGTTCTCTGAAAAACAGGTCATGATGTCACTGCAGCTTTGGTGGACCAGGAACTCTGTTTGTGTCAATTGGATCGTCAAAATCAGACCTTCTGTTTCAAGTCTCAAGATGAACTCAAAACTAGTTTCTTTCTGCCAAGAGCAAGAGATCCACCCATGTTGTCCTAGCACAAGTCCACGAACCTCATATGGGAGATAAGCAGACAAAGAGCAGAGTACCTCCGCCATCTCCACGCCAAAAAGCCTGGCAATACTTGTTATTCAAGTGCTTGTTTCATTTTCTGTCTTGCAGCCCCGTTCACGGCGCGGGCCGTCACCAATCTTTCAAGCCCGCCCTGTATTGGGGTCCCCTTCGAAGCCGTCGTTCCCTTGGACGGCCTACTTTTCCCGCCCGATTTCACCTACTCCGACCTCCTCCGGGGCTCCAGTTCCCCGGCTTCTTGTGACCTGGAAGGCACCCTAAGCGTTGCCGAGTATTGGCCCCCGACCGCACACCAAATCAAACCCGAGATTCGGTGCACCACCATGGCACAATCGTGGCTGTCCCCCGGTCCGCACACCCTCCGGGTCTCTCTTAACGGGCGGGACTACGTGGCAGTCCAGACGCCGCTGAGTTTCAGCGCGGCAAACGAAAGCGTTAACGGGTGGGTTCCCGGTCCGTCCTGGTACCAGAACGGGCTGCAGCTCGACTCCAGTGATCCGGGTTACTGTTTAAGCTACCTCTCGGGACCGGGAAGCGCCAACACCACGCTCGCGAGCGTGTCCCTGGCGCCCGCAAACCTGACGTCCGATTTCACCCCGGACGTCCGCAACTATGCGGCACGTGTTTCCTGGGACGTGAGCCAGGTGGCGATCCGCGTGGCAGCCAGCGTGGTGGGCGCGGCCGTTCGCATCAACGGGAGCCCGGTTGACGTCCGCTGTTCAAACCGGACCCTGTCCAACAACACCTTTCCCGCTCCGATCCTGTTCACCGGAACAAACGCTTTCACCATAGAAGTCACGGCTCCCAACAGAATCAGCCGGAGCCTCTACACTCTTAACATTGAGTCGGACCCGGCGCCAGTCCCCGGGCCCTGCCAGAAGCCGTACGCGCCGCAGATCACGACTGCCTGCCTTCAGCAAATCTTCCCGGGCGTCGGCCCCGCGCGCGGCGGCACGCAAGTCCGCCTCCAGTTCCCATACGGTCAGCTTCCTCTGGGCTATCCAAACTGGTGGAACTGGGGATCGTACGGAACGGACGCAAAGCTTCCGCTTTGCGCGTTTGGTGACTTGGTTGTCAATGGCTCGTACGGGTATGACGGGACCAGTATCGTGTGCCCCTCCCCCGCATGGCCCGCGTCCGAGCCCCCCGAAACGGTGGCCGTGAGCTTCAGCCTGGACGGGGCCGTCTTCTCAACTCTGGGCGCTACCTTCACTTACTATGGTGAGCGCTTGGATGATGGATCTCAAAACTTAGATTGCCGTTGAAAGCAAAAAAGATGGCCGGACAAATGAATCTGCCTTCCTCTACCTTCACTGGATTGGAACGGTTTGACCGTCATTCAGTAGACTTTAATGTGAACTCATACCGTCAGTATTGACGGACTCCTCGCTCCAGATTTCGGAGCAGGTCTTAATCGTGTTGGCAATTGGGGCGTCTTTTCAGTGCAGTCGAGATCATTAGTTTGAAATTCTCGGGACTTGTAGACGTTCTCCCCAGTGATGAGTCCCGCTTCCTTCAACTTTTCTGTTTTAGTCAGATTCTTTTTAGAAGCATGTCATGCGTTGAAGTACCGCAATCTCTAAGTTCCAATTCCGCTCTTGCAATCCTCTGAATATTCTTCTCTGCAGCCCCCTTTGCGCCAGGCACTGTGACCGGTCTCCCTCCCACTCTCTACACCGGAGCAGCCTACCAGGCGTCTATTCCCCTCGGCAAAACGGTTTTTCCGACGGACTTCACCGACTATGACTTGGTCGGCCTATCAGCCACTTGCAACCTTGACGGCACAACCTCGGCCGCCCAGATCCTCCCGGAAGTTTTCTCCGACGGCAGCCTGGCCCTGAGCTGCACCGTCTTTGCCCCCTGGTACTATCAACCGGGGCCCCACACCCTGCAAGTGTCGCTCGACGGCATGAACTATTCGCCCTTGCCGGCTCCTATTTTTTTCACCGCCCCCAATGAGACCACTTACGGCTGGCCTTACTACCGAACCCCGAATTGGAACCAGGGCAGGCAGCTGTACGGCCCGGGGTATTGTACCGGGTACCGAACCGGGCCCACCGCAGCGGACTCTTCCCTGGGTACGCTTGCCGTCGACCAGGGGGCCCTTCTCCCGGACTTCAACCCGGCCACCCGGGCATATGCAATCAACGTGACGGCTGACGTCACGGAGATCAATCTTACTCTGCTGCCGGGCGCGCCGCGCGGCGCGGTCGTGGAGGTGAACGGAGTTCCGGTCAACATCAGCTGCGCCGGGAACGAGACGGCCGGAAACGTCTTCTCAGCAGCGGTCCATTATGTTGGACTGAACGCTTTTGTGATCACCGTCACTGCCCCTGACAACATTCATCAAACGGCTTACCGCCTGGACGTATACGCTGCGCGCGCAGGCAACGTGTGCGCAGAGCGCGCCTACGCCCCCGCCGCGCGTGCGGCCGCGTGCATGCAGGGCGTCGCTCCGAGCCTGGGCCCTGTGACAGGTGGCACACGCGTGGCCGTTCATTTCCCATACGGGCAGCTTCCGCTGGGCAGCTTCCGCGGTTATTGGGAGCAGTGGGCGAGTTTTGGCGCTAAAGCGCGGCGGCCGGTCTGCACGTTCGGCGACCAGAGAGTGGAGGGATCATATGGGACAGAGGGCACGACGATCCTTTGCGTGTCGCCGCCTCTGGAGGACCAGTCCCAGCCGGTCACTGTGGACCTGACGTTCAGCTTAGACGGGAGGGTCTTCACCCGTACCGGAGCAACGTTCACGTATTACGGTGAGCTGCAGCAGCGAGCCCGCCCTGTGTTGCCAAAGCAACCTCTTTGACCGACAGCTTGTACTTTCTGACGACATCAGAACAATCTGCCCTTTACAAAATTGGTTCTGCCTAGCGTAAAGAAGCGATTTCAAACTCTAAGCCTCCAAAGCGGGTACCTACTAACAACAATTGCCAGTAGGATTGGGCAAGGAACTGACAAAGCGCTGCTTAGAGCTCATCGATCAGTTCCTCAGCTATGTTTGGTGGAGCTGCCTAGTTGCATCTTATTGTCGCCTTAACATGCTTTTTATTCCTCTTTCTTCCTTCTTTTTCCTCCTCCCTTGCATTACAGAACAAAGTGTCCGCCTTAATGCCTATCGTCATTGCGAGCCTGTCTTTTTGTGCAGCCAACTTCCAGCCTGCCATGGTGGCCGCCCTTCCCTCCAGCGTCGCCGTGAGTGATCTCGTCACGGCGGTCATCCCCTTGCCTTCGCCACTGTTCGACGCCACCTTCAGTGACTTCGCTCGGGTCAACTCCTCCGCGGCCTGCCTCCTCCAGCCGGGCTCCACTTCCGCCGCGGCGTACTTTTCGCCGGACTCCGCCCACGACACCCCGACCCTCCGCTGCCTCCTCAAGCTCTGGATGGGCCCCCAACCGGGACAGTGCGCGCTCCAGGTCGCCCTTAACGGTCAGGACTACACACCGGTGCTACAGCCGCTCATGTTCAGCGTCTGGACCGGAAACTCGGAGAACTGGTGGCAGAGGCCGCCCGCTCCCGGAAATCAGGTCTGGCCCCTTCCTGCGGCGAGCACCGACCCGTGCATTTCGTACGAAATTGGGGCCCCGTTCATTGACGCTACTTTAGCTAACCTAACCCTGGTGGCCGGAGTCTGGCTCTCTCCAGACTTCCAAGCGGATGTGCTGAGCTACTCCATAAGCGTTCCCTCCACGGTTAACGAAGTGACCCTCACGGTTACGCCTAACGTGGTCGGTCAGACCGTCCTCATCAACGGTGCGGAGCTCTTTGCGACCTGCGCAAACGGCAGCTTAGTGGGTAACGTCTTCAAGGCGGCGACCCCTTATATTGCAACCAACAACATAACAATCGAAGTGGTCGCCCAGAACGGCATCCATCGGTATCTATACACCGTTCTAGTGCAATCTCAGCCGTCCAACTCCCCGGCACTCTGCCAGAAGGATTCTGCGCCGTCCGTTGGCAGCGCCTGTCTGCAAAGCATATTCCCCAAAGCAGGCCCAGTGGGCGGAGGGACACGCGTCGTGCTCCGATTCCCCCAGGGGCAGCTGCCATTAGCTGCGGGCAGCTATGGCTATTCCTGGTATACCGCGGCTTCCACCGTTAAGAATCCGGTATGCGCTTTCGGGGGGCAGAAAGTGCAGGGATACTACGGGGGAGACGGCAGTACAATCTACTGCAACGCGCCGGCGTGGGATCCCACAACAGGGGCAAGGACCGTGCCTGTGTGGTTCAGCTTTGATGGGTCCAGCTTCACGATCTACGGACCAAAGTACACCTACTATGGTAAGTTTCCGACTTTCTTTCAAAACTTCAAGTCAGCTTGCCTGAGTTTCCTTCCATCTCATCCAAAAAGACGCCTGACCGAGAGGCTTTAAGCATCTCTTTGTGATCCACGAAGAGTTCTCGAGCTTCTTCAAAAAGTCCTGGGTTCCCTTACAATCTGGTCAAACCGTATACTCCTTCGCTGCCGGTGTGCTTTCGCAGCGCTCCATCTCCCTATTCTTCACACTGTAGGTTCGGAACCAGAGAGACTCCTACCAGGGCACCAACACGTGATCTTTTCATCCCCCGTTATTGATCTCTTGACAACAGAAAAGAAGCGCGCACTCAATGTGCTCTGTGACGAGGCGTCAAGTCTGACTGTCTCAGTGCGCTTGATGCTTCATAAGCACTGCCAGTAGTCGCCCCTACCGACCTGCGGAACACGCCTCTTTTTTCCTTCTGCAGACGCGGTCACAGTAACCGGGGCAGCCACCGTTCCCGCGTCGCCCACCATCGCTTCGTACTTCACTGCAACAGTGACCTTGTCGGGCGATCTCTCCCCTGAGGATCCCTCAACGTTGTCACCCGCCTGCCGTTTCCTGGGTTATCAGTACCCGGCTACAGTCTCCCCCGCCGTATTGAATGGCAGTGCCCCAACTCTCCGCTGCGTTTGCGTTGCCTGGCCCTATTATCCACCGAGTGAATTTGATCTCGAAGTCTCGTTGAACGGCCAAGACTTCGTCCTAGCGCCAAGTCCGGTCAGCTTGGGGCCCCAACTGCCCGATTCTTCCTGGTCCGGCTTCAACATGCCCACAGTCTTCCCCCAAGACGTCCCCGGGCACTATCCCCCGGGGGTCTGCCTGACGTACCGCTCGGGGTTGGGGGCGGCCAATGCAACCCTGGCATCCCTCTCCCTAGATTCTGGTTACCTGAACCCGGCCTTCAATCCGGGCCAGACCTACTACTGGACGAGCCTCCCAACCGACGTCGCGGAGGTAACCCTTGCTTTCGAACCGGGCACTAAGGGGGCGACCGTCACGGCTAACGGGACTCCGATTAGCGCAACCTGTGCGGAGGGAGCAGTCGCCAACAACACGTTCCCTGTCTCCATTTCTCATTCCGCGCCCACGCAAGTGTCTGTTGTGGTTCTTGCGCCAGACGGGATTTCGGAGAGGGTTTACTACGTCACCATATATTCTGAGGTGTGGAGCACCCCGGGGGGCCAACCCGGGATGGGCCCCTACCCCTCTCCAATGGACCCCTTTGCCCCGCCGGCGATGAGTCCCCCAACCCCGTTTTCTGGCCCGGCGAGGGTGTACGTGCGCTCTTATGGGCCGGGGCTAAGCTCGTATGGAGGTGAGGCCACAATCGACTTGCAAAGAGGGCCTGAAGCCGGGCAAGGGTTTCCATACAGCACTGTCTCAAGTCCTGCTTTTATCAGCTTCTGTCGCTTTTGGATTCGGCTGCAGCCGAGCTTGCGCCCGGCCGCTTGCAACTTAATTTGGATCCGAATTGGTCAAGTACGGACCGAAAAACATTCGTACAGGTTCCCTCTTTGAAGTAGCTAGAAAGTCTCCTCAAGAAATCCATCGGAAGTTGAAGGGAATTTAAGTTCTCTTGTCCATATTCAATGTGCAAGAATTCTTGTGTCACCAGAACCCTTCTCTCGGCTCCTATTTTGAGAGAACATGAAGAAATCACGTTCTCTTGAGAGACCTTCTTTGCAATTAGAACCTTTCAGTCCTTACAGTTTGCGCGCCGTGCTTTGCAGGTGGCATCAAGCTTTCCGTTGTGCTGGAACGCCCGGCTGGAGAGATGGCCCCACACGCCGAGGGCTGGTATTACTGCCAGTTCGATTCGGTCGTGGTCTTTGCGGACAGCTTCCAAGACAACCCGTCGGTGCCTAACGTGTGGACAGTGACGTTTGTGGTGCCGCCCTTGCCGCGGGGGAACATGGTGGCGAAGCTGGCCATCAGCGAGGACGGGTTCAACTTCCAGGATTTCGGAGTGTTCCAGTATCATGGTGAGGGCGTCCCCTAGAGTCGAGCACTGACCATCTCGTCAAATGATGTTGAAGTGAGTTCCAGAAAGCCAGCGTCGAAGACTCCTCCGGCCTGTGCACTGCCCGGTGCCCCCTGTCTGATCTCCTGTTTGCTTTGCCTTCCGAGCCAAGTCGAACGCTTGGTTTGCAAAAGCCGTTTAGAAATTTCAGAGCAACTTGCGTAACCCTCTAGTAGGACCGACTGGCACTTGCTTACGGCACGACCCACTCTTATCCCTGAGCGGATCATTCCATCGCTCTGCAGAGCCCCTCCACATCGCCTCTTTTGCGCCGGCTATGGGTTCGACCGCCGGGAGAAGGGAAGTCCAATTCTCGGTCGCCAGCAGCCTCCTCATCTACTCCTCTGCCACGGCCGAGCGTTTACAACCCGCGTGCAAGTTTGGCAACATCACAGTGCCCGGGACCTTCCATCAACCGTATGCCTCTGAGGATTCGAGTCCTCACATCAGTTGTGTCGGCCCCGCTTCCCAGCCCGGATTTGCACGGCTTGCGGTGTCGCTCAATGGCCAGGAGTGGGCACCGGTTACCGGCAGGTATCACTTTGTTCAGATGCTTGAAGACCCGGACATGCCCGGCCGGTGCTTCTACGGCCACGAGTTTTATGACGACTGCGGTAAGGCTCCTACTGGGGAATCCGTTCTTCCTTCAAAGATTGTCTTTGCTCCGATCTATCTTTATCGGATTGCAATCGGCCGCAAGGTTTAAGCTTTTGAAGAAGAGCGTTCTTTACCGTTTGGTTATGCAATGCTTTTTTTGGCACCAGTCAAAATTCGATCCAACAACTTAGCTTTCAACCTGCTTCCATCTCAGATGTCACCTGCTAGAGAACGGTGCCGGGTTGCTATGATTGCACTGGGCCATATCTTGTCCTTAATCCCCTGAACATCAAGATTGAAGCATCCGTTTGAAAATAGACAGGCCGCTTTGTGACCGATTCGTGTAGCATGATGAGAAAGGATAGCTCTCTTGGGGCTCTCAAACAACAGCTAAGCAGTGCTTAGGGATTATGCAGGGTACCCGGAAGAGTTCCCACCCGGTCCACCTACCAGCTTCCCTCCGGCACAGGGGCCGAGCCAAAGCCCTTCTATCTGTCTGGATGAACGGAGTAAGCGAAGTCAATGAACTCTCTCTCTTTTCAGCATTCATACTGACTTGCGTTTGTCAAATTTTTCTTTCGAAGAAATAGCACGCCAGAGGCAGTAGAGTTGCCTGAAGATGCTCAGGCATCCAATAAGATTCAAAGTGTGGATCTTGTCTCCCAACTGCCCAACCTGTTCGGCGTGTCTCCTCTCCACTCCCGGTTCTCAGTCACACCGAAAGGTGTATCAAAGAGCATTCACCGTGTTTTGTGTTCGGTCGTCATCAGAGGTTTACAGCGATATTATCATAGTATGACTGAGCAATTTTCTCTGTTTTTCCAGACTCTCCCTACCCTTGCTTCGAGGGGGCACCCGCCATGGCTCCGAGACCCCAGGCTTTTGCCTCCGCGCCAGCCCCCGGGCCACCCTTTACCTTCCTCCCCCCGCCAGGTTTCAATGGAACCCTGAGCGAACCCCTGACTGTCGTGGAGGTTTTGCCGGCCGCGGCGGGCGCCTATCTCCAGCTCATCTGTACCGCGCCGGATGGGCAGCCAACGGTCGGCGCGCTCTTCGCGGCCGCGTTGACCAGCTTCCCCGAGGGCGACGCGCCCGCACAGCCGCTCTTCGTGTCGTACCCGGCGGATCTGCCCGGGGACTACGCCATCGACGTATCGGTGCGCTCTGGCGGCGTTTACAGCTTCAGCGTCTACCGGTGCTTCGCGCCGGCCTGCGAAGATGTGCAAACCGGGGCGCTTAGCTCACCGGTGGCCGTCTTCCAAGGCAGCTTTTCCGTCGTTCCGGGTCCGCTCAGCCACAACATGACAACGGCATCTCTGGCGTCGGGTGCTTATGCCGGGGCGGCCGTCAACATCACCATAAGGGCCCGGGATGCAAACGGCTTATTGCGAACGCAGGGCGGCGACAGCACCCACTTTGCGGCACGCATCGAGCCGGCTGTGGCGTGGCCGCCCAATGTGACGGACCATGGAGACGGGACGTATCTCGTCAGCTTTGTGCCGGTTCTCGTTGGAGAACACACTGTCACGTTGTTGATTGTGAGTAGCTGCGAACTGGTTTCTCGCGACACACATTCTGAATTGCTTTGAGAAGCACGTTCCTTAATCTTTGCTGAGCGGATCATTGGGTTGGCTAAGGTCTGCAACTGCCTTTCTTCATTCGATACATGAAGAAAAGTGCTGCAAGTGAAGTGGACCCCGAACGGGAGAACCGTTATAGCTTTGACTCTCATGAGAGCCATGTCTCGAGATTTTGCACATCAAGAGTTTCCAGGCCTCACTCAAGCTCAAGCTTGAAGCCTATTGCAATATTCACTTGTTGGTTTGAGTTCTTAGTTCGTGGGGAGCTAGCGGACACTTATCTCTACCTCTGACTGTCAGTCCTTCCTTTCATCTGCCAGAGTTCACACTTAAAATCGGAGGCTCGTCTTGAAGAGCCGTCTTAGAGCGGACCGGTCATCGCCCTGATAAAGATACTACTTATGCGTGTCGGTTTATCCCTGCTTGGAGCGCTTTACTGGACAAGCATCACCTTTTTGCGCTCTCACTTTTCCCCTACCAAATCACATCCAGACTGGGTTGTTATACCGTCTTTTACACTCCATCATGCGACTTCTAAGGAGGCAGAAAGCTTGCTGAGGTGCAATTTCATTGTCCGCAGGACGAGGAGCCTTTCGCGTTTTTCAAGTTCGACACCCTCCTCGACTCCCGCGACGCTGCCAAGTTCTTCCTGGCGGGCCCCCGCACCGCGGCCGCGGGGCAAAACCTGACCTTCTCGGTCCGCCCACTCTTCGACCACTACTTGACCGTCAACTCGTTCTCTATCAACGTCACCAGCACGAATTCACTCAAGGCCGTAGCCTCGTTGGACGACGCCTCATGCCGCGATGGAACAGCGCGCGCGTCGGTGGACTGCGTCTTCACCTTGAACGCAACGCAGTCGGGGACTTATGCCGTCAGCGTATACTTGAGCTCGGAAGAGGTGACCAGCAGCCCGGCTAGCTTCGTGATACTACCGGGGCCCCCCTCGGTTCTGCGCTCGTCAGTGACCGGTTCGGCGCAGGCGGCTGCGGGCGACGCGGCCGCGTATGCGGTCCGCCTTATGGACTTTTTCGGAAACGCAATCACCGCGGACGTCGTCCTCGAGTTTTCCGGCCCAACTCCGGCGTCCGTTCCGCAGCTGATTCCGGCGGCATACAACGGAAGCCAAGCGGTGTACACAGCGAAGGCGTTCCTGTCCGCCCGGGGCAGCTACAACATCACTGCAAAAGCTGTGGTTGCTGCCGACAACGGTGGCGGCAGCCTAGGCGTTTCCTCGCTTCCCTTCGGTCAGCCGCTGATCGTTAAGCCGGGGCCGCTCAACGCAACGCGCGTCAGGGAGTCGCTCCAGGGGCCCGCCCTGCAGGACGCGGCCGCGGGCGCGCCGCTCTCCATCATAGCGTATCCCCTTGACGCATACAATAACCCGCTGGGCCCGACGGAAACTGGCGGCGTGGCAATGCGTGTGATCGTCCGCAACGGAAGTGACGTCACGTTGGTGGATCAGGCACTAAGCTGGGCGGACGGCGATACTGTCCTGAAGGGGGGCCGGATTTTTTTGACCGCGGCCGGTGCTTATAACGTCTCCGTTGTTCTAAGCATCGGCGACAGCCCCTCGAGTCTGGTGTACAACAAGTCCATTACGGTCACGGCGGCGGAGTGGGTCTTGGCCCAGACGCGAGTGTTTGGACTCGCGAGCGTGAGGGCCGGAGACCTTGGCACCTTCCAAGTTCAGCTAAGGTGAGTTGTATTGTTGAAGTGGAAAGTGTACTTTCCTTCAGACTTCCACTGAAATTCATGCCAGTCCATGTTCAATTGAAGTGAGGCAAAAACAAGGTTCATACCCGACTTTCCTTGAATCTCGGTTGGCCATGTGAACTTCCATTGGTCCATGTGAGTAGAATCCTCACGAGTAGCATCTGTGTCACAAATGGAGAGCAAAGGTGAAAGAACAGATTTGAAATCGAAGCATTCCGTCCATCTCAATCGTGAATTCGCAGCACTTCGAACTGGGGTCTCTCACGTTGGAACGTGTTGCCTGAGGATCTCGATCCAGGGTGCTTGACCTGGACTCCTCCTTGAGAAATTCTCGTTGCAAACGAGGCTGATGACCAGACTCGACATTTCAATTTGATTGACAGTCCGAGTCTAGTCATTGTCAAATGATCAACTTCCGAGCAGCTTAATCCGGCCATGCTAATTCCCAAAATCTCTGCGCGTGCTCAAATCGTCCGCAAAAAGAATCTTGTGCTGGGGTCCTTCCGTAAGTTCCTTGAGTTGCCCGCCAATCAAAGGCGTGAGAAGAAAGCTTGGAAAAATTCAAATCAAAGTAGATATCATCACTTAGCATTCCTCAAATACTTCAACGTGGGCAGTACAAAACCTTAAGCATTAAGCAGCACTCAGCTATGTAAGTGGCCAAAAGTACCTCGTGTTTCCCAGCTTTGCGGAAGGGAAAATGGATGAGATCCACTTTTCAGGGACGCCTACGGCAACGCCGCACCTGGCGACGCCTCTCTCTTCAACACAAGCTACTTAGGCCTGCTTCCCGACAACGCCCAGAAACTGGTCCTCGGCTCCGATATGACCGTTAAATCTGGCGCCCAAGCCGGCCTGTTCACATTCTCATACCGGGGGACCGTTGCGGGTCAATACGGTATCCACCTCGCACTGCGTATGGAAAGCGTGCCAGGGGTGGATGCCCTCGGTAACCTGGTGATAACCCCCGGGTTTGCGGCGTCGGTGACGTCGACGGTCAGGGGCACCGGGCTCCAAGACGGCATGGCCCTCAACGCGCGGAGCTTGTACCTGACGGTGTATGACACGTGAGCATCGGCTGAGAATCCGGTCTTGACTCTGTGTGCACTCGGCTTGATTATGACGCTTGTATCCTTTTTCTTTAACCATGTTCGCTGCAGGGGAAAGCAGGACTCGCAGGGACGGGAAAGGTGATGTTGCACCGTTTTAAAACGGTGGTCCAATCTGGCTCCTTTGCCGCGACTTAACGTGAAGTTACTTCTATAATTGTCGGATTCCCTCACCTATAGTGGTTAGGTAGTATTTTGGAAAGGGCTGGCGACGGTGAGATCTGGACAATGTTGAATTTCTTCTAGTCCGAACGTATCCTTCGACCAGGCCTCTTGGTTTCAAATCCCGTGAGTGATTTGCGTTTTCTGCGCTACCTTTGCAAAGAAGATGTCTCTGAGCCTACAAGTCAAAAATGCACTTTACTCCCTTTTCACTGGACTTGTGGGCTGCCACACATCAGACAGAATACAGTGCATGTTTTCTTGGAATTCACTTTTTGAATCCGCTCGTCAGGTACGGAAACCTTCGGTCCAGCGGCCTTCCGTCAGACGACCAGCTGTCGGTAGCTCTCTCTCTCACCACCGCCGACCAGCAGATCGAAACGGTCCCCTTTACGGGGCCCGCTTTCAACTACACCGCCGGCCAGTACGCGATCACCTACTCCGTCTCCAAAGGAGGCACTCTCAGCACAACCGTCACAATCGCCGGCCATCCAGTGACGGGAAGCCCGTTCGCGGCGACCATCATGCCCCTTCCTGCCCCATCCCCGTCGCCATCTCCGTCGCCGTCACCGTTACCGTCACCGTCCGTCTCGGCGGCCCCGTCGCCCTCCCCCTCTAGTTCGCCTGCGCCCTCCGCCTCCCCGTCTCCTTCAAGCTCTGCCGCCCCCTCTAGTTCGCCTGCGCCCTCCGCCTCACCATCCCCTTCAAGCTCTGCCGCCCCCTCTAGTTCACCGTCTCCGTCGACTTCCGCCGCACCCTCCGCGTCGCCCTCCCCATCTACTTCTGCAGCCCCCTCGAAGTCGCCTTCCCCCTCAAGCTCTGCCACCCCGTCTGCTTCTCCTTCCCCCTCTAGTTCTCCTGCCCCTTCTTCATCTCCCTCCCCTTCTAGTTCATCCTCCGCCTCCCCCTCTGCTTCCGCCTCCCCGTCTCCCTCTCTATCCGCTTTCCCATCTTCATCCCCCTCCCCTTCCGCATCTCCTTCGCCCAAGCCTTCGCAATCGACGTCTCCTTTCCCGTCGACTTCTCCCTCCCCTTTGCTCTCTGCCAAACCGTCAACCAGTCCTTCTCCCAGTCAATCTGCGTCCCCCTCTACTTCAAATTCACCATCGCCGTCGACCTCCCTGTCTCCCTCACCTTCGATCTCTCTCTCGCCTTCACCCTCCGCATCGCTTTCTCCAAGTTCAAGCCCCTCACTCTCCACGCAGCCCTCGTCCTCTCCCTCTCCATCCCCTTCCACGTCAGCACAGCCCTCGCCATCCACGTCAGCATCGCCGTCCACGTCAGCACAGCCCTCGCCATCCACGTCAGCATCGCCGTCCACGTCAGCAAAGCCCTCCCCCTCGCCTTCTCCATCACAGTCGGCGCAAGCCTCCCTCTCTCCGTCCCCCTCTCTTTCTCCGTCCCCCTCCACTTCTGCGGTGCCTTCCCCGAGCGCGTCTCCTTCCCCCTCCCCCTCGGCGTCGCCTTCCGCCTCGCCCTCCCCGTCCCCTTCCCCGGCCAGAATCCCGGCAAATGCCAGCCTGTCTCTCCTGGGCGGGCCAGGCATCACCGGGAGCGTGCAGGGGACGAAGAGCAGCATCAAAATCACCGCCGTGTAAGTTTCAAACAGAACTAGTTCGTTGGTGCGCTCTTTGAACGTTTTGGGGGTGCAAAGAAGGATTCTTGCTTCCTACTTTCCTGAGATAGAGGTTGGAGATTTTGCATCTCCTTCAGGAAGGTAAAATCTGTCGTTGTTTTAAGTCCCTTCGTATTGCTTGGAGGTAGTCTCGCAGTATACATACCTGTTTTTGAGAAAATTGTTGAAAAGATGGCCTCCAATCTGAATCAGTGCGTACCACGCAGCGACTCTCAAGTCTACACTTTCTCCAAGACAAAGGAGCCACGCTCGCACGCTCTGAATCAAGTAGCAGTTTTCCGAACTTCCGCAGGCAAAGACCATAATTTGATTTTCGCTCATCAATGAATCTCGATCACCGCCTTGAGAGTCTCAACTTTCCAAAGCTGTTTTTTCCTGAAGTTCACATTGCGATGTACCATCTTGCGGTTCCCATTCTAAACTTATTTTGGCGCTTTTTGCAGCAACTCGTTCGGCGGCGCAGTCACGAGCGGGGGGGACCCCTTCACAGTGCGCATCGTCAACGGCACGTGCACCGCCGCCACGTGCAGCGCTTACGTCACCGACCACGCCGACGGCACATACACCGTCACCTACTCGTTTTCTTCCCCCGGGGTATACCAGCTGAAGATTTCGCTGAACGGGGTGCCAGTCGGAAGCGGGACCGCCGCCCCCAGCCCCCTGTTCCTGACCATTCTAAACAAGAACGCCCTTCTAGTTCTCGACCCAGCCGCCACTACCGCTTCCGGCAAGGGCCTCGGAGGAAGCATTGCCGGCGTCCCAGGGAGCTTCGTCATCTATGCAAAGGACAAGAACGGCCTTTCTCTGGTCGTGGGCGGCGCGCAGTTCTCCCTTTCCCTGACGCCCAATTCGTCCGTAACCACCGCGGTCATCGACAACCTCGACGGAACCTACAGTGCCTCGTATACTGCCACAAAGGCTGGGCCCTACACAGCGCGTCTCTTTTACAACAAAACCATCCCGGTTAGCGCGGTCTCGGGGCATGCGCTGAACGTAACCCCCGCCGCGACCGCGGCCGCCAACACGACACTTGCCGTGCCATTCGTGGCGAAGGCGGCCGCGGGGTCTGCCCTCGTGGCGAAGATCGCCCCAGCTGACGTGTATGGAAACCCGGTGGCTTACGGCTCAGGTTACGACCCCGCAAATGACGTGTTCGTGCTCCTGATTGCTGACGTCACGTCAGGCCACCGGACGTTTAACCCCGCGGTCTTAACCGACAATGTCTACCAAATATCCACGAACCTGACGACCGCCGGACCGTACGAATTGACCGTTCAACTGGGGGGGGTGCCTATCGCCACGCCCAAAGCAACGGTAACGATACTCCCCGGGGCGATGAGTGCAACCAAGAGCAGCGTCCAAGGAAGCACTTTCCAGTCCACCGCGGGTTCGGAAGCATATCTACAGCTCAGCCTGCTCGACGCCTTCGGGAACGCGGCCGCGGCGGGCGCGTCTTGTACTGCTACGTTCACGGGCGCGACTGGCGCCGGCGCGGTTTGGCCGTGCGACGCGGCCTCGCGGGTGAAGTATAACCTGACGGTGGCGGATACTTATACAGTGCACGTCGTCGCGGCTCAGGGCGCGGCCAGCATTTCTGTCGGGGCGGTCTCCGTTTCCGTTCTGCCCGCCGCGCAAAGCGCGCTTGCAAGCAGCGCGAGCGGCCCCGGGCTGACCCAAGCGCGCGCGGGCGTGGCCGCAAATTTCACCATTCTGACTTCCGACCTGTATGGCAACCCCGTCGAGGGGCAAGCGAGCGGTTTCATTGTCCAGCTCATAAGCGATGCGAAGGGCTTCACGACTGTTGGAAACGTGTCGAGCAACGCTGACGGGACGTTGGTGGGCAGCTATACGGTGACCGCCGCGGGCACGTACAAGTTATGGGTGAAAGTCGGGGGAGTTGCTATTGGAAGCGGCACGCCATTCGTGCTGACTGTGAAGCCCGCTTATACAAGCGCAGCTAATACGTATGCGCGGCTGGCCGGCTCTTCCGTCCCGCTGAGCAGCGGAACAGTTGCGAGCGTCACAGCGGGGCAGACAGGGCAGATTGTCATCCGTGCCGTCGATATGTTCGGGTACTCCCAAGTGGACGGGAGCAGCGGGAAGCAGAAAGTGGTTGATAAGTTTGCGGCCGCGTTTGGACCATCAACGGTGATGGAGAATGACGCCCTGGTTCCGACTGGTGCCGCGCTGGGGAGCACCGTTGATAATGGGGACGGTGAGCAGCGGTCCAGCTTGTGGACTCTAATGTATTTCTCGTGAAACTAGTACTTGCAGCTAATCCATAAAGTGGCGGCCGAGTAAAATTATAAGGATTCTTTGAAGGATCTCAATTGTTAGTTGCCACAAGGAACTTAATTGCCTCTGGTGCCAGTTGAGGTCTTAGCAGGCGATGGTTCCTCAGGAGTAGGTCTCACTGTATAACGAAACGTGTAAACTATCAGCCTGGATGACACGTTTGATTTTTGCACTTGCTTGTGTGCTTCCAGTCCTAGTCGTTTTTTATCTCGGCAGTTCAGAAGATGCCAATTTATCTTGCTGGCAAAAGAATGGTTAAAGTACTCGGGGAATAAAAGTTGGCTTCTAAACAGTGCTTTTAAAAAGTGCTTTCAAAGGATATTTTTCTGCCAAACTCGTCCTTCAAAAAGTACCGTCCTGGCTTTCTTTTCAGTTGCCAAAAGTTTGCAATTGTAGAGATAAAAAACTTTTCCTGATCCAGAGATATGGCAGGCTGGAATCGGTGGATGAGAAAATGGTCTTGCACAGAACTGCTGCCCAAGAAGGGCCTGCCCGCTACCAACCGCGAAAAAATTGTTCCTCCAACTCTTGCAGGCACATACAACATCTCGTTCTCGGCGACCAAGTCCATGAACGGCACCGTTCCTTTGACCTTCTCCCTTTCCGTCACTCTCATGACCGGCGCGGGTGGCGCTGCGCCGATCTCCGGAAGCCCATTCCTCTTCACCGTCACTTCGGGGGCGGTCAACCCTTCCTCCTCCGTCTTAACCCAAGTCAGCAACGGCGAGTCCAGCGTGGGGCTGACGTCATCCTTCCTGCTGACCACAAGGGACGCGTACGGAAACAACGGGCAGTACGTACCGGGAACCTTTTACGCGGTTACGGCGGACGCGGTGACGACCATGCCGGCCGCGGCCGGCGTTGGGCAAACGGCGGCCGCGAGCATCATGGCCATGCTCCGGGACACTTCTACCGGGCAATCGAGGGCCCCTGAGGCAGCGGGGCTGCTTTTCGTTGGCGCCCGGTTCTCCAACGTGACTAACAACTACGACGGAACCTACACCCTGGTACTGACAACTCTCCAGGCGGGGCCGTATAACATAACCGCCAGGATCAACAACGTGGTGGTTCAACCGGTCAGCGGGTACACGCTTCTTAACCAGGTTGTGCCACCGGGCCAAGACGCCCCGGGCGCCTTCACGGCGACCGGCCCAGGAATCGGCGCGCTTAGCGTGGTCGCTGGCACGGATGCGCAGTTAACCGTCCAGGCGCGCGATCAGTTCGGCAACCCGACAAGCACCAACGTGAGCGCGCTCGTGCAAACCCTAGTGGCAAGCTTCCAGGTCATGTCCGGGACGTCCAGCAGCTTCGTAACGCTGACGGGCGTTTCGGCCGTCACCGTTTCCGCACCCCGGGAGGGAGCGCCGGGCCAAATCGTGGTCCCCTTCCGGCCGCTCAAATCGGGTAACCTGCTTAGCTCCCTCAAGATTGGTAGCAGCCCGGTTTCAACTCTCAAGGGGAGCCCATACTCGGGCGTCGTTCTCCCGGGAGAGCCGGCCGCGGCCGCGTGCGTTGCCACCGGCCCCGGTCTGCGCGGCGCGCTCGTGTGCGCGAGTGGAGGGACGTCATCCTGCGCCAACGCGAGCATCACGCTCCTGCCCATGGACTCCAACGGCAACCTGGTCATAGATCCGGCACAGGGTACGAGCCCAAAGGCCGCCACGTGTCAGCGCTTCGGAGTTTCATTCTCGAGCCCGAAGTTGGTCAATATGGGCGACATTCAGGCGGACGTAGGCAGATGCGTGGTCGCCTACAGCGCCACACAGAGCGGCGCGCAGCGGATCACCGTCACTTTTGACGGCCAGATTGTCGGGGCGTATGACGCGACGATCCGGCAGGGGGTGGGTTCCGCTGACGCCAATGAGAGCATATTGACCGGGGACGGAATCAACTCCGTTATAAAGGCGGGACAGCCGGCTGGCCTCAACATCACTTTGATTGACCGGAACGGACTTGCTCTACCCAACGGAGAGGGAACGACGGTCCTGGCCACAGTAACCCCAAACACCATGACGGGAACAAACCCGGTTATTGCCTTCACCGACAACCGGAACGGACAATATTTGGCTCGGTTCACGCCGCTGGTAACCGGGGTCTTCACCGTGGTTATCACCATCAACGGCCAGCCGCTCAGCCAGAACGCTGCCGGGTTCAACATAACCGTGGCGTCCGCGGTAACCGACCCCAGTTCGACCCGGGTTAACATCCTGCCCAACGCTCCGGTGAAGCGCGTACCCGACTTTGTAACCGTCCAGATCTCCCCCCTGGACACTAACTTCAACCCCCAGGACTACGTCATCCCGTCAACCGACGCCTTTTCCGTTGCCGGGAGCCGCCCGGACGGATCGACGTTTGCCCTGACGGCGTCCAAAATCGCGTCAGCATCGGCGGCGGGTTACGTCTACATGGCCAGCTTCGCCCCGCTGCAGATGGGCGCTTACAGCCTGCAAGTGCTCTGGTCCAACGGGGGTGACGTCAGCAGCTACGTGGGCGGCGTGAGCAACGTGTATTCGATCAACGTGGTGCAAGGACCTGCTTTCCCGGCCCAGACGGTGCTGCGCGGGCTGGGCGTCACGCAGGCGTCGGCGGGCGTGAAGGCCTCCTTCTCGGTCATCCTGAGCGATGCAGGTGAGCTCTCTTGGAAGATCACATTGGAGGATCTCGTGTCGTCAACGTTGTAATACTGCTGTACGCTACTGTATACTGTATACGTCAGAAAAACTACACGTCAATTCAGCCGTTCCTAGACTTTCATTTCGCTCCGGGAACACTGACGCCTGAGCCGCGGTCTTGCAGGCGGGAATCGCATCACTTCCAAGAACGATCTGGTGGCTGCCAACGTCACAGGCCAGGTGACGTCCAGCTGGACGGCCGCCACCGTTCCCGTCAACATGACGGTCGTCCTCACGGAGGGCCAAGCAGGCTACGTAGGCGGCTACGTGCCTCTGCAGAGCGGCCCCGCGTATCTGGACGTCTTTGTGGGAGGGAAGATGCTCAGGTTTCCGAACCTCACAGTCAACGCAGGTAAGATCGCCTCGGTTAGTGCAGTCAGAAAATGGAGGCTTCACGTTGTATTGTCCGCTCTATTCAGCGGAGGAATGCACGCACGCATGGTTACGAGATTTTACAGCTGTCCTTTGCGCTGGTTGGATGATCAGCAAGGTATGGATGGAAGCTTCTTGAACGTGCTCCTTTTATGGGTGAGCGTTTGACTCCTGGTTATACTCTTTCTGCGCTTATTTGAGCTTCTATCTTGACCGAGTTTCAGCTGGAACTTTCTAGACGCCTGTCCCTCGGTTCTTGCACTGCCGCAGAGCCTTTGTTTCTTGTACACTCGTCCGGCACCCTGTTTCTTCCAGACCCGGCCCTTTGTGATCTCCAGTCCCCTTCCTCGCAGGCGAGATTGACACCAAGTCTTGCTCTGCCGCTCTCGTGGGCACGGAGCTTCTGGGAGTGTATTCCGTGCCGGCCGGAGTCTCGTCAAAGATCTTGGTGTATGCCCGGGACTCGTACGGGAATCCCGTCACTTCCGGCACCGCGACTTTCTCCGTCACATTGCAAAACGCGGCCGCGAACGCGTTCCTCCGCCCGGACTCCGTCAGCTTTGTGAAGGACCATTACGAGGTCGCTTACACGCCCGCAAAGGCCGGGGTCTACCAGGTAAGCAACACGCGTGCCAGGCTTATCTATATCTCGTTTTCTTGGTAACTACCAAGTCCTCTTGAAGCGATAGTTGTCAGGTCTGTCAAAGGATCGAGGTCCGAGTTCGTACAAGAGTAGTTTAGCCGTTTAAGGATTGCTTCATATAGCAGCTTCGTCAAATGGTTCTGGATTTCCTGATTGCCATGAATGCTTTTTACAGATGTAGATGCTTTCCTTCTGTTTGATTTCCGACCTGCTGCTCAGAAGAGGCAGCAGCGGGCACCATTGAAGCAGAACAGTTGTCTACAGTCTGGCCTGGACATAATCACCACATCACTAAATTTGAAACTCAACACAAAGATCCGCGGCTCTGTGCACATGCTACCTCAAACACTCCACCCTTCTTTTTGCAGATTGGAGCTCACGACCCGAATCCCCACTGACTCTCGACGCCTTCGGTCCCTTCATTCTCCTGTTAACGCACCTGACTTGTGTCGGACTCCCCCCTCGCAGATCACCATTAAGCGTGGCCAGGACCCCATTGGCGGCGGCCCTTACTCCGTCACCGTCCGTCCGGGCGCCACTTCGAGCGCGGCCTCCAAGCTCCTCCCCTCCTCCGCGGCAAACTGTACCGCGGGCGGCTCGCACGCTGTAACGGTGCAAGCCTACGACGATCAGGGGAACCCCCAGACCTCTTCCGGCGACAACTTCTACGTGAGCATCACCGGGAGCAACGCCTGCTCGGGGGCGATGAGCCCAATCGGTTCCGGCCTGTATTCCTTCAGCTGCCCCTGTGTTTCCGCCGGGAAAGCCAAGGGCGGGTTGACCGTGACGCTGAAAACGGCCGCCGGGATGGACACCGTGGCGGCCAACCTGCCCCTGACCACGGTTCCCGGGCCGGTTAACGTGACCAACTTTCAGGTTAGCGGGGAAGCGCTGGCGGGGTTGGTCGCCGGGACCCCCGCTTCGTTGCTCCTGACCGCCAGAGACTCGGCCCTGAATCAGCTCTGGGCGGGCGGGCTCAGCGTCTCCGTCACGCTGACGTCAGTCGCGGCGGGCGCAATCAGGGCCAACGTCACCGACAACCGGGACGGTACTTACACTGCCTCGCCCGTGGTGGTCTCCGCCGGAACGTACCAGCTGAACGCCAACCTGGCCGGAACCTCGTTCTACAGTACCAGCGTGTCCGTCCAGGCGGCCGCGCCCGCGCCCGACTTAACGGTGGTGACTCTCCCGGTCGCTTTCACCTCCGGCCAACCGGGCACGTTCTCAGTCCAACTCGTCGATCGGTTCCTTAACCCGGTTGGCACTCCCGACCTGGTTAATGTACAAACCGCCCAGGTTTCCTCCGTCTCCAGCGCATCTGGAGGCGTGATTTCGCTGCCTGTCGCCATAGCCCAGGACCCGGTAAGGTCTGTGTACACAGTTACGCTAACCCCAGTTGCGGCGGGGGTGGTCAGACTCTCTCTCGTAGTTGGCAAGAAAGCTGTTGTGAATTCCACAACGGGGTTGGCCTACACGGCTGCAGTTAACCCGGGGATCATCTCGCCGGCAAACTGCCTGGTTGCCGGGTCCGGTTACCTGGCTGGCGCGGCGTCCAACCGGGAGGCCAGCTTTTTCATCACGGCCCGTGACGCAAACAACACCGTCGGAGACCTTCTCTCAGGCAAAACTTTCTCCGTCACCTTTTCGGACCCCACGGTTACGTTAACCGGTCCAATCACACGACAGGGCGGGGGAGTCTTCCGGGCGGCCTATACCCCCACAGTCGCTCAAGTATTGGCTAACCCGGGGGGGCTCCAAATCGTGGTCACTTACGACGGGACTCAGGTTGGCAACAGTACGGTTACGCTCCTGGCCGTTCCGGGGAGCCCTTCCGCCGCGCGCAGCGTTGCCATAGACGAGAACGGGGTGCAGCTGACGTCACTCGACGCGATCGTTGGGCAAACGGTGACGTTTTACATCCAGCCGCGGGATGCCGCGGGTTTGGACATCAAGAGCGTGGGCCCCCGGGACGCGTTCGGTGTGAATGTGCCCAACGCCGGGATAATCATCCCCACGCCGCTGGCAGACGGGCGCTACCTGGTGTCTTTCACCACTCAGGTCGCGCAGCCGGTAGCGGTAACGCTGACGAACTTCACGGACGCGAGCGTTACGCTGCTCAACAGCCCGCTGGCGGTGCGCGTCGCGCCCGGGCCTACCGCGGCCGCGGCTGCGAAGTTGCTCAAACCGGGCGGGGCGGAGGCGTATTCCGCGCAGACGCCGGTCACAGCAGGGACGGAAATCGTGATCGTTGTGAGGTCTTATGACGCAAGCGGGAATCCGCAGATGTATAACGCGCTGCGAGGGGGCGACGTATATACGGCCACACTCAAGGGCCCGCTTACAATAACCGCAGCCTCGGTTGATAATCAAGACGGAACGTACGAACTGCGCTGGACGACAACAGTGTCCGGAACGTATAACCTGACGGTCTGGTTGCGGGACCCGGTTTCGAGCAACCTGACGGCGACCAGCGCGCGGGACGTGGCCGTTCTGGTCGCTAATTCATACTTCGCCATCGGGCAGTGCGCGCTGAAGTCAGGCTCGCTGCCGGCCGCGACGGTCATGGCGGGGGTCGAGCAGTCCTTCGTTGTGGTGGCGAGGTGAGACCTCGCTTTAATGTTCTTGCTTCGGGCGGCTTTCCTCAACCTTGTAGTACTTTCAGGAGCGAGAGACAACAGTCGTATTGATCGATATGGAGGCTGGCTCTTTGGTCCATTGCTGAATCACAAAGTTCCCGATCCATTTGCTCTGCAAGAATTTCCGAAGTACAATCAGCTTCTGACGTTGGGCTTGAAAAAGGTTGACCTTTCTTTGACATGAGAATTTTGAATGGAAAAGCAGCTCTGCACACAGTGCAATATCTACCGACCTTAAAGAGTCGGCGTTGGATGCAACAAGTCAAACTAGTGTTCTAAAGTTTCGCTCGGATCTGCATTGTGCAGAGACGCTTTCGGAAACCCCTACAACACCGGGGACAAGTCGTTTGCTGTCAACTTTACCGGCCCGTCTTCCATTCAATACACGGTGACCGGAACGAGCGTGGCGAGCGAGTTCCGCGTCACCTACACAGCGACGCTTGTGGGCGCTTACCAGGCGACGGTCAGCAGCGCAGATGACGTCACAGCTGTGGTGCCAGGCACTCCAGTCCAGGTGAGGGAGATTCGCGGTTGATAGGGTCTCCTGACTTCATTATTCTGACTTTCCCTTTCGGTCGGAGGGTTCCATGTGGTTGAGTCACTCGGAGCCTGGAGTTTGCTAAGCGACCCTCACTGATCCACTTCTATCTAGAACTGCTGCGTGGCTACTCTTGGCCACCGCCATGAGCCTTCTCGGTGACAAATTGAGGTCTGCCTAATCACTTTTTGATCAGATTACCTTTTTCTTACAAATAGCAAAATCAGCTCCGGTTTTTCCCCCGCTCCAAATTTTCATTATCTACATTGGACGTGTCTTTTCAAACCTTCTTAGAGACTTGAATTCAATCCACCCTCTTTTGCAGATCTCCGTGGTCCCCGGGGCCATTTCTGCTCGCTTCAGCTCCGCCGCGGGCACCGGTCTCGCGGCCGGCACCGCGGGCGCGGCCGCGTCCTTCACCGTGACCGCGAAGGACGCGGCGGGGAACATCAATAGCACCCTCCCCACTGTTAACTTTTTGCCCGCAAGCGCCGTCCCCAGTGGTTCCGTCCAGCTTCAGCTGACGTTATGCTCGAGCTTCGGAGTCGGCTGCCAGGCGCTGGTGACGTATACGCCCGCGACCTATGGCACTGTGACGGTCGTCATCACATATGGGCCAACAGGTGAGTGCGAACTCCAAATGCAAAGACTCATCACGAAGGTCGGTCATGTGTAAACAAAACCTGGAACGAGTTGCTCTTTTGATTTTGAGCTGCGACTTCAACACGCATGAGAGGGCAAAGCCTCCGAAGGAATTTTTTGTCCGGCCCAATTTGAAAGCTTTGAGATTTGTGTGGACCACGTTTTATGCCAAAAACGTCTCGTGCCTGAACCCGTTCCAGCACCTTGTAGAACCAGGCAGAGACAGGTGTACTCATGCTCTGCCCTCTCGTGTTCCGCTTTGCAGCCGTCGGTCCCGCTGGCGGCTTCGCGGTCGCCGTCGCGCCCGCGGCCGCGCCCCAACTCGTTGCCGCCAAGATGGCCAACAGCCTCGGCGCCATTTTGGTCTCTTTTGACCAAGACACCAACCTGGGCTCAACGGCAGGCTCCTCCCTAGCCAACTGCCAGACCCTGCTCGATCCGGCGCTCTTGCCCAAGCTTGGTTCCGTCCCTGCCTGCGGATTCCGTGACCGGAAGACTCTGGTCCTCACGCTCGGCAGCGGCGCCACGGTTTTACCTACCGGGTCCTCTAACCCGGACAGCGTAACTTTGCTACTGAACATCATTGGCAACGCCGCCCAGAGCTCGTACAATGCGTCCGGGTCGCTTCCGATCAGCGGCCCGGATTCCGGGCCCGTTCCCGTTTCTGTGCTGGCCGCCCCGACGTCGGTCGGGGTGTGCGACCCGGTCACTTTGGACGCGTCGGCCTCGAGCGGGAGCGGCGGCCGGGGCCTGCAGTTCAGCTACTTCGTACAGGTGGGCGAAACCGGCTTTAACATGGACCATTGTTTGTTGACATGATCTCGCTCTCTGCAATGAACACCTGCGAAGGTTTGAAAGCTGTTCAGCGGTTCCGGCAGCTAATCGGTATGGTGACCTAGTTCGTACTTGGTTAGACTGGTTCAACCTGGCCAAGCTTTGTTAAATCTTGACTTAAACCTCTGATGATCTTAACTTAGACCTTGCGCTGAAAAATTGCAACACGGAGAGGCTTCGCTGCCCCTCACCTGACATCCTCGACTTTATTTCCATTTGTGAAGGGCCCCTCCGACAACGCGACCGCGGCGCTGGCTGCCAAGCTGGCGGCCTTCACCGCGGCGGGCTCGTTCCCGGCCATCACTCTGTCCGCCACCGACCTCCAGCCCGGCACTGGCTACACCTTCACGTTCGTGGTTCAGAACTTCATGGGGACCGCCAGTGCCCCCGCCCAAGTCACGACCACCAAGCAGACCAAACCCGTTCCGGTCGTCTCGATCGTCGGCTCCGGAACGGAAAACCGGCGCACCGCCAGCCGGGGCGACACCATCGAAATTCAGGCCAACGCGGCCGTTCCGTCCAAGCTGGCTTGGGTGAACGGAAACTGCGTTCCGGCGGATTCCGCCGACCTGCCGATGGTGTTCCAGTGGCAGCAGCTGGCGGGCCCGCTGGTGGACCTGTCTAGTTACCCGCCCAACTACCAGGCGTCGTTCCAGTCCAAGACGCTGACAGTGCCGGAGAGCGCGCTCGCGCTCGGGAAGGACTACACGTTCCAGGTGCGGCCTGAGAGGCTGACGCTTGCTTGCCCCCTTTCAACCATCCTCACAGGACGGCAATGGTTTCTGAACTGCCTTGCTTCCGACACCAGTCTGATGATGCTTCGAAGGGCTTTCTTCTGATTTTGGCGTAAATTGTAGAGGCCAATTTTCACAGAGAGGTGCTGCCATTGTACTGAACTATTGCAGCTCAAGCCTCGACTCCCCGGCCTGATTGGAACCAAGGTGAAGCCTGAAGCTTCTCATAACCTTCCCTGGTTCCTGCAGTCGGAGCAGGTTTTTCGTCCGTACTTCGTGTCCGGAGGAATTGCTAATCCCCATTATTAAATCCTTTGATACTGTGCCCCTCTAGGTATCTTGTGCGATGAAGGACGGCGGCGTGCTTGGCCAGGCTTCCACGGCGCAGGTGGTCCTCAGCCTGGCCCCGTCCCCGCTCTCCGTCAGCATCGCGGGCGGCAGCCGCCTTCTGGGCACCACCCAGAACCTCACCCTTGCCGCTTCCGCCGCCGATCCGGACGGTTCCGTCGACCAGAACGGGACTCCGTTTCCGTTCGCGTACCAGTGGGCCTGCAACGCGAGCCTGCCCGCGCAGGCGGCCGCGGCGCTGTTTCAGAGCGACGCGGGGAACAACTTCGGGCAGCAGCTGGTCATCCCGGCGGGGGGGCTGCCCGAGGGGGTGTACGGCTTCACCGTCCAGGTAGGGGGATCGGCAGCAGGCTGCGGATAGGATTACTTCGTGGTGACTTGTTTCACGCACAAGAGGAGAGAATCCTGACTCGTTGGACATTGACCTGTACCCCGTCCTATATGAAAACTCTCAGCAGGTAGGTAGCTGCACTCATTTACTGCTTGAGGAGTTGTTAAGCGGTGGGACCAGAACCAGTTTGACCGTTGGTCACTGCTTCGAGCGGTGATGGACATCAAGTCTGAGTAGTTATGAGTACGAGCTGTAGATCGCGAGACAAGCTTCTACCTTGGAGTCCCAGCGGCTCACAAGCAAGCACTGTCTCCTCAATATAGCGGCCTCTTCTACCCTGTTTCAATACCGCAACCTCAGGAAGTCATGTCTGTATCTCCCGTCGCCAAAGTGTAGGGAAACCTTACGCCTAGGAGCTTTGCCAAACCTGCAGGTTTCTCGCGAGCCGCTAACGGCTGGCCGGTCTTTGGTGCCTGCGAGCGCCACCATAACGGTCCAGGCCGCGGGAGTGATCAGCCTGGACGTCAAAGTAGTGGGCAGCGCGAAACTGGACGGCCTGCTGCCATCCACGCAACTCCAGCTGCAGTGCTCTGCCAACGACGACACGAGTGTGAAGAAGAACAGCATCGCGTATTCCTGGGCCATCAAGTCAGACAGCGACCCCCGGGGCATCGACGATCTGGCCCCGGGGTATGACGACGGCAAGCGGAAGCTGCGTGTCAAGCCCAACAGCTTACTGGGCGGGCACGTGTACCAGCTGACGTGCGCGGGCGTCAGCACCGAGGGCGTAGGCGCGGCCGGCTTCGCGACTGTGTCGGTGAAGGTCTTGGGGGTGCCATCGGGAGGAAGCGTCAGCCTGCAGCGCTCGCAGGTGGGTGACTTCAGAAGGGTCTCCGGATCCAAGTCTTAATTGCCTTTTGAACGGCTGATTCCTCCATTTTAACGTGGCAGAGTGCTGTCGCTCGCCTTTGTATTTGGATTTATTTTAGTCCGGAGCTCACTTTTGTTTTGCTTGATAATCTATAGTACAAATTATGGAGATGATTCCAACTTGGGAGCACTTAAGGTTTATACAGGTTGAACAGGGCCAACGCGCTGACCTCCTGGTTGTTCTCCCATGCTTGGCTGTTGATGTCCCTTCTTGTTAGCTGATAGACCGCCAACAGTAAGCAAAACAAGGCAAGGATTAAGGCGCAGGGTCCAGCGCTCCTCTCTTCAGATTAAGAAGAGACTTGACTTGCTCTGCAGTACCGATCAAAGTGGGGCAGGCACTCGGAGCACATGAGGCCGCAGATATACCTCTGCGGATGTCCATCCTGTTGGAACCGAGAACAGATTCCAGCATACTCGAAACGATCACAGCATCATTCGTCAGCTTAGGCCGCGCTTCGCTTGCGAGTCACATTTGTCCTTTCCTCGCAGGCTGCTGACGTGGCGGCCAGCACGCAGTACACATTGAAGGCCGTTAATTTTGTGCCCAGCGACGACGCCCTTCCGGGCTACCTGCTGTACCAGTTCCGCTACAGCCTAAATGGCGGAACGGAACAGATCATCGTGGCCATGTCCACCGAGAACAAGGCCAAGTTTGTGCTACCGGCGGGCCAGATTGTTCTCTTGGCTTACGTCAGCAACCCCGGAACGCTGGCGTCAGTGCCTGGCGATCAGCCGCCAGGGTTCCGGTGAGCGAGGAGCCAACCAGGTTCATTGCTCATTATCCAACGGGCAGGGTCGCTTGCTATGACCGGCACTTTGCAAAGCAATACTGACAACAATTTTCGTCGAAATATTGACCTTCACTCGCACCCTCGAACGTTTCCAATCTCTCAACGACAATTGTTTGACCTGCATCCGGTGATCTACTAGCTTATTGGTGCATCTGAATCCCTCTTTTTCTCGCCAAGCCGGTCGCTTTGAAACTTCCTCATTCGTTATTCCGCGACCTTCAGGTACGCTTTCGAGCCGTTCAATGTCTCGAGCCCCTCGACAACAAGCAAACCCAAGCGGCGGAGCCTGCTCAGCACCGACTCGACATCGAACCTCGTCGCCTTGGGACGCGGGCTGCTCTCCTTCGACAGCGTCAACTACACGGCGGCGCAGGAGAGCTACGAGAGCGTTTTTCTGCCGGCGGCTTACCAGACCCCGGACTACGCGGCAGTGCTGTCGTGGGCCGCCTCTTGGGGCGCCACTTTCGCGCCCGCGGACGCTCTGACGCTGCCGTGCGGAGAAGGGGACCAGCAGATGATGCTCAACAAAGCGGACGTCCTCAAGATGATCGGCCACCTGGATCCCCTCAGCCCACCCGCCTTCTCACCGGGTGAGCACCCCGGTCGGCGGACCTCTGCATCTCGTTCCGGTTTCTCGTTCGAGCAGCGACCCGAGAGTATCGGTGACCAGACGTTTTGCTGCTTCACGCTTCTCTAACTCCGACAAATTGATGCCGTGGTGCAGCAGGTTCGGTTTTGCATGTTGTCCCAAACTATCTCGGCGCAAGATTCTGCTTTACCATAAGGCAAAGGCGTCTCCATATTGACCAATTGAGCGGCCCTCGAGATGGGGTAGCCTGTCAAATTAAGTTAACGTGTTTACAACATGACCATCAACTTTCCCCACAAGTCGGGACAGTCACATATTTCCTTCGCATAAGATAGACATTTAACCATCTTCTGGCCGCTGGTCAAAACCGGTTACGATCTCGCTTTCGTTGTTAGAGACAAGCAGCCCAGAAATGAGCATGCAAGCAGAAAGAGTCACAAAAGCACGCCGTTTCGATCGTTTACTGGCTGCTCTTCCTCGCCCGGACTTGAAGTCCCTCGCTGACGCCATGTCCTCTTTCCCTGACGTCAGGCGTGACGAGCAGCACCGGCGCCACCATTGCCAACCTCCACGCATGCGCGCTGACGTCACTCCTCCAGGTAGCCGACGAGGCCGACCTTTCCCTGGTCGTCTCCCCGAACCCCAATCCGCTCTCGGCGACCGTCGCCGAAACCGCGCCCGCGGTTCAAACCGCGCTCACCACCTTCCTGAGCAAGCTCCAGCTAGTCGCGCTCCACGGGCTCGCCACGTCGCCCTGCGCTGGCGCAGGCGCGGCCGCGTGCGACAGCTATGCCTGCTTCCGCGGCGCAGCCGACGTGCTCCTGCGCGCGCTCGCGCTGCACTGCGGCCGCCCCATGGTGCCGCTGCGCTGGTGGCTTGATGTCGCAGCATATACCCCGCTCGCGCTGGCGCGCGTATACGCCCAGGACCCCTCGGTGTCAACAACTGGAAACGCTACAACGTTCTCGGCGACCACCTACGCGGGCGCTGCGGTGACGGCGTCGCCCAGTTCCACGCCTAGGGTGCAAGCAAGCGCCGGGGCGTTTGCGTTTGTTGCGGACGTGTCTGGTGCGGGTGACGTCAGTGCTTACTGTGTGGCGTACGAGGACGGGCTGGACCTCGTCCCCGGGGCTCCGCCGTCGACGCTGAAGACCGCGGCGCTCTTCTTTGAGCAGGATCTAGGTAAGCACCGCGCAAAATGAGTTCGGCCCTTTTGTTCAACTCGTCCGAGGCGTTGCAGTTCAGGGAGAAGAGCTTTGGTTCTGAAAGGTTCGGGTATGAGCAGAGCTACAGCCTTCAAACGACTGTTTTTTTGACAAAGAGCTCAAGAGCATTCACGCAACCTGAATGATCCTTCAAAAGGTTGCAAATTTTGATCCTTACCGAGCACCAACAGAGGGTAAGTCAAATAGAGTGCTTAACTAAGATATGCTCTTTCCGAGTATTCAAGAACCTCATGCATCTAGGGCGAGGTTTACAAACTGATATACGAGAGCAAATCTTACCGGATGGCTTAGTCCTTTCCGGTGACGAATCAGGTTTGTCTCGTCGACGCTTGTATATGGATTACTGTAAGAAAGAACTTACCTGAAAGCAAGCAAATGTACTCGCTTCTACTGCGAGCTGATGCACAAACTCCAAAACTCGGTCCCATGTTTCAAAGCAGATTGAAGGGTCAAATTCAGACAAGATCTTGAGTGAGGCACGTGTAAGAAGATATCACAAACGACCTCAGCCTCACCGAAAGTTGCAGTGGATGTCGAACCCTCATCAATGCTCATTGACCCTGGCTCTTTCCGTCGCAGCTCCGTACGAGCCCTCGTCCGGGAGCCTCATCTTCACCGGCCTCAGCGCCCCGCCCCCCCGGCTCATCTACGCCGTTGACGTGTACCAAGCCAACGGCTGCGATATCTGGACGATGCCGCCTCTGGTTACGACCAGCTACACCACGTGCGTGTGGACGCCTGTCTCCACCAACCTGTCCGCACCGTACGACGCGGCTGCGTCCACCGCGACCGCGGCCGCCACCGTCTGGAACGCGGTCTACGTCCTACACACCATTCCGGCTCCGCTCCCCGTGACTTCCGTTTCCGTCACAGTTTTCAATCCCAGCTGGGACCAGCAGCCCACAATCGCTGCCACCACAGGGAGTCTGAGCGTATCGGCGACCACGGCGGGAACAAATGCTGGCGGCGGGTCGCCCCACGACCCTATCACGCTCATGGCGGTTTCTTACGCGGGCGGCGCTCAGCCCGTTCCGCCGTCCAGCCTTCCGGTGTCCGGCTCCGCCCCGATGGCCGCCGCGGCGGCTTTCTTCACCCAGGGTTTGGCTGGGGCATATCAACCGGCCTCTGGGGGGCTCACCTTCAGCGGCGTTCCGCCCCCTTGGAGCGGAACCGTACACGTTGTCGACTTCTACCGGGTGGCGAACTGTACGATCACTTCACCTCCGCTGACGTCAGAAGCTTACGGGGCATGCACATGGGTGGTTGCCGCGAGGGGGATCCCCGTCGCGCTTGCGGTTGCTCCGCAGACCGCCACTTTCTCACCCGCCCGCGGGTTATGGAACGGTGTTTACGTCCTGTACCTGGCAAACTCCAGTTCCGTTCCGCTGGTGCCGGATCCGTTACCCCCCGTGACGAGCACGGCGGTCACCGTGCTCCCTGCGATGAACAGCACGCTCGCTGCGCAGAGCGGCGCCGTCTCATTCTCCTGTGCGGCCTCCGGTTTGTTGGCGATAACCGGGTACGTGGCAAATTACCCAACGGCTGCCCAGGTGCCAATTCCGGACGGCCTGTTACCTCCCGCCTTGATTTCCGCCGCCGCTCTTTACCTGACCCAGGGACCTTCCAACAACCCCTATTTCCCGGGCTCAGGAGCGCTGCTGTTCAGCGGCGTTCCCGCACTTCAAGCAAGCTCCCAAACCCGGGTTCTCGACATAGCCGCCGGCTACCAAGCGCAGTACGTGGTGGACATCTTCGAGGTCGGCCCCGACTGCTCCCCGCAGATGCCCCCCGCCGGCCCGTCCGCCTTTGCGGGCTGCACGTGGTCCCTGGTTGCCGCCAACCGGTCGGTCCAGCACGACCCTGCCGCGCGTACCGCTATGGTCGCCCTGTCGAGCGCCACCCACCAGAACGGGGTGTATGTACTCCACGTTGCGGACGTTCCGCTGACCGCTGGGCCGACGCCGGACTCCGCCACGCCCACCCCGGCGCCTGGAGCGACCGGCTCACCCTCCTCGCCGCCCGCGCCAAGGCCACCCAACGGAACGGCCCCGAACGTCACACTGGCCCCGGGCGGTGCGCTTCCGACGACCGACAACGGAACCGGAAAGGGAACGGTCAGCGCTAGTGGGAGTACCGGCAAGACGACAATCATCATCGTGGGGGCAGTAATCATTGGGGTTCTCATCTTGGGCTCCGCGGCTGTTGCCGGTGTCCTCATCCAGAAAGCCGAGGGCCAGGTGCGCTATCGCCGCCGCCGGGCGCCAATCGCCGCTGTGGCAGGACCCTCTCAGCCGCAGTAGATGTGGCCGCCTGCGAACAATTGTAAGATGGTCTCTTAGCAGACGATTCGATGCAGGCGGCGGCAACGTGACGCTCATTTTGCGACTCTGCTCGTATAGTTCAGCATGCTCATTGTATTAGCTAAGCAAGTGTGTAACACTGAAGCCCCGAGCCAAGGCTATGGGCGCTAGAGTCCAGTTGGCTTGTGCTAAGCCGAGGTTGGACGAACAGCCACCATTTAGGATATCACCACCTCAATCAGGAAAGAAGCTCGACTTCATATCACGCTATCCGGCAGGCACGATGCAATTGTCGCTTGCAGATCCACGTCTTACACCTGGTTCTTTACCGTCAAACCGCATTTTGGCAATTTGCATATCAGCATTTCACTGATGCATCAAGAACAGTGAAGCGCGGCGGCATAACATGCTACTTTGGAAATCTACTGAATGCATGTATGGTTCCGACAGCTCTACGAGCACACCCGTTCATATGCAGGTCGCAAATTAGACCGTAGTCGTTTCGTGTAAGCAACACTTGATTATGGACGCATTATGTTCTGACCGGCCCTTGATTTGAGTTAAGGATGCATTGTGCGAGTAAGTGTTCGGGTGCATGTGGCCATGCGTGCACGCTGGTGCCTTAACCGGATTCTGCAGTGTGTCGACTTGTGAGCGGCACCTTGGCCAGGGTCACGAATTGGGTTCTGAATGCTCGTGCCCCAGCTACCAAGACAAGTACATGGTGTGCGCCACGCATGCCCTTTTGACGCACATGTCTGGGCGTCCAAGCGAGCGTTCTTCATCATCTCCTACCTGTACAACGGTTCATCAAGTGAAGCCTTTCTTGGAGTCTTCAAAACGGAAAAACTTGCTCAAACTCTTTGTTGTTGGTTCTATTCTTCCCGAAGAACCGTGGCTCCTCAAAGGAGCCGCACTAAAAAGCAAGGGCAGATTCCAACAACGCTGACTACAAACAGTGCAGCTTTCTTGCGTGCCCACCCCCGGGGCTTTCCGTGAGGAGCCTCACTTTGAAAGAGGCGCTGCCGTCCGCGGCCCTATATGGAGAACGGCCGGTTGAGGTCGAACATGCGGTCGCTGGAGAGCTGCGGGATCTGCGTGAGCCCCCCCCCACTGCTCGCCCCGAACACGCTGCCCAGCAGGCTGCCCAGCAGGCCGCCCCCCGTCAAAGCGGGGATACCCCCCCCCGCCCCTAGTGACGCATTGGCGTCGCGGATGGCTTGCCGCATCGCCGCCAGAAGGGAGCCGTACGTTTGCGCCTGGTTGCGCTCGATGGCCTGGATGAACGAGTACGTCATCGCCCCCGTCGACACTGTGCCGCTGAACGCCTGCGCACGCAAGCACGAGGGGCCGCTCAGGGGGCTGCAGACAACGGCAGGCGACAGCAGGCGTGCGACACCCCAGCGGTAACGGAACAATTTGTCGCACTGGAAGCCACAATTCCTGCCAAAGGTGCCCAGTCACTGAGTAGCGTTGCGAGGGCGACTTTACCAGCCGAACGGTTCCTGTGGGAACAGAAGCTGCCCAACCTGGTAGCCTGTGACCTTCGTCCGGGGCAGAGGGGCTTGCAATCATACTTCCGGATCTCCAACCATATTGAACGATCTCGAACCATATTGAACCGGGGCTGACAATCGGCTTTGAAAGGATGAGGTCAAACAGGATCCAGGGTAGCTTCGACTCCTGCTACATTCTACGAACTCTTCGAGCAAGGTTGGCTGAATTTCGGAACCCCAGGCAATGGAGGCCAGTCGCATTGGGGTACTCAAGAAAATCGTGTACGACAGCCTACTGAACGGGTTGTCGCCTGCAGCGGCGCTCACCGCGGTGTCGGCGGAGGTCTGCGCGTCCTCGCAGCCGCTGAAGCTGATGGCCTCGCCGCCGGCGGTGCCCTTGTACGTGCGCCCCATGCGCTGGTCCTCCCACGCCACCTGGTTGTACTGGTTGATCTGCGCGGCAGGGAGGCTCAGATGTGTAATCTTGCGGGCCTGCCATTCCTGTCTTACATGCCGTATCAGTCTTGTCCTCGTATGTCACACACTCCACACCGACAGATCGTCAGAGCAAGATACCTCCACCACGGTTTGGTTCTGCACGAGCTGAACCCGTACGAACGACACCCACATCATTACTACATGGAAAAGGGCACATACGGAAATTCTCCCCTGTGTCAGCGGAGAATTCAGCTCTCAGGACTGACCCAGTCACTACCGACCGAGACCGGACCCCGTTCTGGTGCGCACCTGCGCGAGGAAGGGCAGGTCCAGGATGGTCCCCGAGTGGCACGCGTCCACGACCGCGTGCAGGCGCACCCCCGGCAGCAGCGGGTTCACGAGCGCGCGGTTCAGCTCGTCGTCCACGATCTGGCCGTTGCGCTCGAAGTCCACGGGGCAGATCGTCTCGTCGAAGCCGTCCACCTGTCAAGCAGGCGCACAGCCACCAGGCGTGAGCGGCAGGCCAGCCAGGCACAGGCGGCGGGGACAATCAAGGCAAGGCAGTCCGGCAGGCAGGCAGTGAACCTGGAGGTGACTCTGCGCTCGCTTGCACGTCCGGCACAAGGTCTGTGACGCCGTGCTGGGGCACAGCGGCGGAGCAGAGCGCGGTTGCCTGCGTACCTCCTCCCCCAGGCGGTTCCGTTGTTGACCCCCATGGCCTGCCACAGCAAAGCAGAAGCATGATGAGCACGGATGAGCGGATCGTTTCCAAGGTCGTACAAAGCTTCGCAGTATTCCGAACACTCAGATTTGGCAAGACCTGGCTTGCGACTGGGTGAGAAATATGCCGGACTTCATTTCCCCTGACAGAAGCTGGCGGAGCCATCCAAAAGTACGTTGCCAGAAGTGGACAGCCAATGCGGTGGTGGGTACATAAGCTTGCGCTCCTTGCACAACAGATCCCCTGTACTCTGATCAGGTCGAATGGCTACGCCAGCCTTTCGTGGGTTTTCAGGGTCGACCTCGGCGCCTCACCTGAGTAGTGGAAGACGAGGGAGTCTCCAGCTTGCTGCCCCTGGATGAGCCAGTAGAGCGCGGACATGATGTTGTAGCGGGTGGGGATGCGCAGCGGGTCGCGGTCCTCCTCTGCACAAGACAGCCGGCCCCCTCAGTGAGGGCTGCCCGGGCTAACAGGGGGTAGAAAGACCCGCCAAGCAATTGGGCTGTACCTGCCACAGTAATGGAAAAAGCAGTGCCAGCCCACTGCCGGTTGACTCTGACTTCAGGAGTCAACAGAAGGAAAAAGATAAGCCATGCTATCCAAACTTGTCTTGTTGCCCAGGGGGAAGACAACTCTGGTGCATTGGCGGCCCACCTGTGAGCATGAGGATCTGCTCCTCCTTGAAGCCCAGCTTGTTGGTCAGCAAGTACTTCATGCACTGCGCGTCGTTGATGCACCCTGCACTCGCAGCAGCACGCCGTCAGAAGAAGAACCCCGCCTCAACTAAGGACAGCGCAAGGGAGCCAGCACGCGGCAAGGGGACCAGGAACGTGGCGCAAGTGAGCAGCATGTCAAGACAGCCTGGCGGCCAGCTCGCCACCTCCTGTGACTGCCGTCCGGCTGGCACCACACCGCCGGCAGCGCTGGCGCTTCTTTTCTTAACAAAAGGTTGCCCCAGGGCAGCGGGGCGGAGGGGCTCACCTTTGAGATGATAGCGCTGGTTCAAGTACGAGATGCCACAGACCACGGCGCGCTTCTTGCCATGGAAGGAGGGCATGGACGGGGTGTACTGGCTGGGGTTTGGGGGGGGGAGGCTGGACGCGGGGATCTCAGGGCGCACAAAGGCACCCCCAGGAGGGCCAGCGCCGTAGCTCCCAGGCGGGGGCTGAAAGCCACCTGAGAAGGGAGGGGGGCCCTGGTAGCCGCCTTGAGGGGGGAATGGAGGGGGGCCTGGCAAGGAAGAGAAACCGTCATGAGGGATCACTCCAATCCATGACGGATCACTCCAATCAAAATCTACCCCCGTCCACAGGGCAATGTAACAGCAATGATCATCACCGAAGATGGCCTTCACATTTTGAAAGCGCATTCGAAGATGGGGACTGCAGCAGAGATGTTTGTGTAACTCGTGCGAACACCGTTTAGGAGAGGTGATGTGTACTAGTTGCAAAAGCGGTGTTCTTGGCTGGAAAGGCATGTCTCAAAGTGATTGCGGGCTGCCTCAATTCATCACCAATTATTTTCAGACAGCTGTGCAACCCATGCTTCAGCAGGGCACTGAACATACCTCCCACATATGGCGCAGGCGGACCAAACCCGCCGCTGGGGCCAAACCCGCCACTGGGGCTGGCCCCAGGGTACCCCCCTGCGGCGGGCTGTGCACTTTTGGCCGGTGCAATGCTGATGACGGTGCTGCAAACCACACACCTGCACACAGGTGGCCAAAACAATGCATAATTCGGGGGGATTGCAATGCACCACAAGCAGCGGAGGGTTCAAGTGAACATCCTGCCACCAGCTAATGACATGAACTGAGTGCACACCATAGCCTGGATGCTGGGGGCATTCCTTACTGTATTTTTTGTGCTCCAGGCGGCAGCTGAAGAGTCGTCCGGCACTTGGGGCAATCAATCAGATAACTCGCCATCGTGGTGCAGCTTTCAAAAGAAGAGTGTGGGCATACAACTCCCTGCAAACACGACCCGCCTGCTCTCCCAAGCTCCTCAGAGGCCTCAGTATTGCAGCTCGTCAGCAATTTCTACCATTTGTAGTCTACCTATAGTACTGAGTGTGCGCACATGTCATGACAATTCAGCACCCCATATCTGAAACTATGATTCATGAAAGTACGGTATCATGGTGTTCATCCACATGCCAACCAACGGGCTAACGGGGAGTTCCCTAGCTTCACCTTCCTGCCACCTGGCCCAAATTTTGGCACTTCACGAAGAACGGCGGCCGCGCGCGGAGGCCGGGCATGTGGGCGAACTAGAGCTGTGCGCACGCACGTCCCAACATCGCAGGGCCCGAGTGCCATCTGAGCAGCACGGACCGTCCGATGTTCTGTGTCCTGGTGTGACGGTTGATCTTGCAGCTGGTCGCGCACATGCTGCCATGAAGCAGGCTGCTGCAGCCGCCATTGTCAATTGAACAGCATTGACCTTCCTGGTGGCTGCTGCACCGCCTTTGCCCGGCCCCTGGCCTGTTAAACTTGAAGGTGCCGTTGACAAATCCTCGACGCACGCAGCACACTGGGTGACCTCGCGGGGGGACTGCTGTTGCTCAGCTTCAGCAGCATTTGTCCCGAGCAGGAAGTAAAGCAGCAAGGTCATTGCGCACCAACACATGCTGAGCACTGTTGGCTGGGGAGGAATTATCCCCAAATTGGTCACGCTAGTCAGGTAACAGCAGCCAGCGTGGCCAGCTGCTATTTTAGCACGGGTGCCGATCAAAGGGAGCAAGTTCATTGCCTGCAGACAGGTGCATTGGGGATTGAACATCAGCACCATGAACGATCTTCTTGGGGTACGTGTCTTGCACTCAGCCTATAACTTTCCAGAATGACAAGCTAGCTTGCTTGAGTTATTGCTACCCCAATATGCTTGCCTAAGTGAGCTTTCAGTAAAGCTCATCGCGGTTCCTCATTGTGTCCCGTTATGCTGCAATCCAGTCCTAGATCTTGAGGGCGTTGGAGCTCTGAATGTGTCTGAGGATCTTATCGAATCAATTGAGACACCGCTCTTTGCAAGTCCATACAACTGTGGAGAGCGGTCAATTTGTGAGTGAATTTTTAGTGAGTCTTGCGTTGGCCTATCAGAGGAGATGTCGCCGTGGGCAAGTCCTTTCTCTCAATTGTGCGGAATGTGCTGTACCTTGAAACATCTGCTTGTAATTGTGGGGCTGCCCCTTCCGAATAGGCAGCTCTGGAACCCTGGCTGGTTGCAAGAGGGTCTGGGGGACTGTTTAAGCAGCATTGCCGCACTGCGTGGCCGTGATGCTTGCTGTATAACCCCCGGAGCGCGGCTGACTCAGTGCACCGCGGGCCCAACCCTAAGGATGTTGCTGGCGGCGTGTGCAGGACATTGGGGGTGCCAATGGCCACAGCAAGGACCTGGAGGCGGGGCCTGCGGGCCCCTCGCAGGCGGACCGCAACCTGCAGCAGTTCTTTGACGAGGTGGCGGAGATCAAGAGCCAGATGGCGGCCATCCGCAGGAACCTGCACAAGCTGCAGGACGCCAACGAGGAGAGCAAGCAGGTCACGCGCGCCCCCGACATGAAGGGTGAGGCCACGCCCCCTTCAAGGACGCGCGCCTGACTCCTGCTGCCGACCAGCCCCTCGATGGGGATGGGCTCTGGGTGGCCTCGTCAGCAGGGCTGTCAGCTGCTCGCTGGACAATTGTCTGATGGGGGGTTCTCGCTCTTCCGATGGGGGGTGCCCACGGCGTACTGATCTGTTGCGTGATGGTGCAGCCCTGAAGGAGAAGATGGAGGCTGACATCGACGAGGTCAGCAAGATGGCGCACAACATCAAGAGCAGGCTTGAGGCACTAGACAAAGCGGTGAGCAGCGAAGTGTTCTGATGTTGCATCACTTGGTCCTCTGCTTATACTGACCGTATGTTGGAGTCAAATGGTGCACAGAAGTAGGCTTTCATGTTGGTCACTTGGCCCCTGGCGAATTCATCTTTCGCCGGGCTGCCACCAGCTAGAAAGCTCAAATCTTCTTGAGGTAAGCCTTGGCAGCACAATTAGTGAAGGGGCATCAGAAGCTCAGAAGCTTTCTTCACTCCTTCCATTGTATTTGGAACTTCAGGTTGGGGCGCATGGGCTTTTGACTGTGGAAGAAAGAGGGGCAGGTCTGTGTACTTGCCCATGCTTGACTCGCACTCAATTCTTGAGAAGCTGCCAGCCCGCCCTGACTCGCGATGCGCGTGCGCTTGCAGAATGCGGAGAGCCGCAAGCAGGCGGGGTGCGGGGAGAACAGCAGCAGCGACCGCACGCGCATGTCCATCACCAACACGCTCAAGAAGAAGCTCAAGGAGCTCATGGGCGAGTTCCAGGCGCTGCGCCAAAAGTTCCAGGACGAGTACAAGGAGGTCGTGGAGAGGAGGATCTTCACGGGTCAGGCCCCGCCGCTCCCACTTGCAACCATCTGCCCCTGGCAGCGACAGGGTCCTGAAACAAATGTCTCAGTTCTCTGCTCAGTGAAGAGCCTCATCTCAGTTGGCGCCCTCTGCGGGGTGCTTTGGCCCCATGCGCCTGACTCGTTGCCACTGCCCTGAGGATACATTTATACTGTGCTGGCTCTGACAGCCGGGGAGTTGTGCTGTGCAGTGACGGGGAAGCGGCCAGACGAGGACCAGGTGGAGCAGATCATTGAGAGCGGGGAGAGCGAGCAGATCTTCCAGAAGGCCATCCAGGAGCAGGGCAGGGGCCAGGTGAGGGAGCGCCGCGCGCGCAGCCCGGCAGCAATGACCACTGGTTTGTGGGCCAGGAGCAGGTTTAATGCCGTTTCCTTGAGGCAGAGGCACAAAGTCAAGCAACAGTTGACCATCATCCGCCAGATTGTACAAAGAGAACCGTGTGCGGATACACAGGTGTTTGCCTCCATCGTGTTTGGTGTCGTCAGGTCACATTTATTGGCAGCTGCAGTTGGTTGAAGCAATGTGGCTGGGAATACCCAGGCCGCTAGCACAGGGCCTTATCACGTTTGCTCACTCAGGAGTTTGACTCTACTTCGTTTGATCCCAATTTGGCTTCACTTACGAATTCCGGTTTGGGTCGAAAAAGGGTGGGCAAGCCTCTCAGGACCACAGAAGATGTCCAGAACAGATTACGCTTTCCGTCTGTGACACGCTCATTATCGGGGTTCAGTGCACGAGGCATGCGCGTGCGCCGAGGCGGTGATGCGTGGGTGCGTGGCTTGGTGCAGATTTTGGACACGATTGCGGAGATCCAGGAGCGGCACGACGCGGTGCGCGACATGGAGCGCAAGCTGCTGGAGCTGCACCAGATCTTCATGGACATGGCCGTGCTGGTGGAGGCGCAGGGCGAGCTGCTGGACAACATCGAGGTGCAGGTCACCAAGGCCGTGAACCACATCGAGCAGGGCACCAAGGCGCTGGTCAAGGCCAAGGCGCTGCAGCGCAACACGCGCAAGTGGATGTGCTGCGCCATCATCATCCTGCTCATCGTCGTCGTTGTCATTGTGGTCGCCGTGGTACAACCCTGGAAGTCGGGCAATGCCTAGCGGCGCCACACCCGCTCAATCAGCCACCGTACCGTCGGGTAGCTGAGCTGCCAAGTCTGCAAGGTCGTCTCCGCAGCATGCTCCCCGGATTGAGGGAGTCCATCACTATCTGCAAAAATACTCAGTTAACTCTCTACTCGAGGTTAGAAACGAACACGTGTTTTCTGCAAGAGGGATTGACCAGCGGCTGTGTGCTGTCCAAAAATGTGCGCATAGAGTTTTTTATATGACGTTCTGTGAATCTCGAAAGTTTTTAGTACCGGCCCTTGTTCATGAGAAATCTAGAGATTGGGATCAAGCTGCGCTGGTAACTCTGTCCTTCTAAAGCTCCTGAGCTGGTGCACGAGTGCCGCTGACAAGCAAATCAGTAAAGCTCAGTGCTGTGGGTAGCAAGTTGCTCAAACTCGCAGGCATGCTCCAAGATATTGGACATGGCGAGAGTACACATGGTGCTTCCTCCGTTTCAGTTTTGAGAGAACAATCCGATGAGTTTCTAACAAGCCGCTGCTCACGGTTTTCCTCGTAATCCAGGTCGGCTGTCTCTTTCTGATCTGCGTCATGCTTAACGGTGTTTGATCGGGTATCAATTTTCAAGGGCATGTTGATCTGCATGCATGAATGTTAGGCCTAGCTACATAGAAACCTAGTATTGAACCAAGGCGGCTCGACTGCCTTCAGCACATTGCTTGTGCGACCCGTATATCATGATCGATATGACCCGACGTGCATGATATATCATGCTGATATGCTTTTAGCTGGAGTCGTGCGGATAACTTTGCAGTGAATGTTGGGATTACGTGCACCTGGCGACAAGGTGCTGCCCCTTAGAGGGCCAGCTCATCACATCTGGTGGTACACCTAAGTTCACCCACTTTAGTGTGCAAGAAAATTGACTCGATAGCAACGATGCTGACCTCCTCAACCCATGCCCACTAGTAAAACAAGATCCAGCTAACAACATTCAATGGCCTGATTATGCGTTCAGAATCGTTGGATTAGGCCGCCTCAAGCCGGTGTCAGTCTGTCTGGCTTGCTGCGCATTCTAGCTAGTAAGATAGTGATGGACGGATGACTCTTTTGGCAAGATCAAATTGAGTTCAAAGCCGGCCCTTGATAGAAAGCGGGTCGCAAGTAACACGCACGGAGATAAACTATTTCAACTCACGGATCAAAACGTTTGCCACAAGTATGACTACTGGAAAAGGATATTTGCAATGAGACTAACAAAGGAAGCACGTAATGTCAAGCCCGCGAGTGCTGCTGCGATTGGTAGCCTATTTCCTAAGCTCTCTCCTTATCGCTTCTTTCACTCTCCTCGACTCAGCCTTCTTGAGCCGTGTGTGAAAGCTTCGCACCGGCCGGACTACCGGCTCCAGGAAGGCCGGTGTGTGGGGGAAGTTTGAGTGCGCCAAGCGGTCCACCTGCCGCGTTGAGAAGCGGCGGTGGGCCAGCTGCGAGGTTGGCAGCGGGGCCGCAGTGGCAGAAGGCTGCAAATTTTCGATCAGGTACGAGAATACGCCGAACCCCGTGCAGCTCTGCAGCGCGGACTGCAGGCCACCGTCTGCCCCCACTACCAGCCCAGTGGCGCACCCCGACACCCCCGCATGCCACCCTGGCAACAGAGCAAGGGAGCACGTCAGGAAGCTGGGCGAGAGCGGAGGGGAGACACCCCACGACAAGAAAGAGGCTGGCCTGCCAACCTTCGCAGTCCACCTGCAGTGGGGGCTGGTGGGCAATAAGGTCCTAACTGAAAAACGGGCGTTGCTTGATCACAAACGAAGGCTTACTCTCTCTGCCGCCGCGCAGGCTCTCCAAAGAACACGCCATTGCTGAGTGCACCCCCCCCAGAAGAGCGAAGGTCTGCAGCGATGGAGCAAAGTGTCAGGACATGCCTGTCACACAGCCAGGCACACAGGCGCTGCAGACGTGCTCCAGCGTTGGCTCAATGTTGGCCCAATGCCTCAACTTGCAGTGTGCCAGGCGGAGAGCGCACATTGAATTGCCAGGTGGAGGGACAGTGCGCGCTCACCTTGGCAGACTTGCCACCTTCGCCGAGTGCCACCTTGAAGCCCTCGCGCTTGAACAACCCGCTCCCTGCGGTGGGCAACCACAAGTGCATCACCAAATGCCACAAGTCCCTGCTGGCGTGGCACAATCACAGGCACGCCGGACAGCTCGATGAACATGCAGCAGCAAGCCCCGGGCTGTGCGAGCACGCTCACCGACTCCCCAGATGCCGCCCATGACAGCGCCGGACACCGCAGCGCCGAGGCCCTTGCCCATGCAAATGGCCCCATTCAGAAGGGCGGGGTTCAAGTCGGAACCTGGAGGAAGACAGGGACAGGCAGCGTAAACCAGCAATCGTCAGGCGGTCGCAACTCTTAAAAAGCGAGATTTCAACAACTCAAGCACTGCAAAACATACTGACCCAGCTGTGAATTGTCATCAGGAACAGCACTGCAAACCTGACGCTCACGGCATTGTCAGCTGGTGGGCACCGGACCCCTTCTTTTGCCACCAACAGCATCGGCAAACGCGCACGTAATTGGAGCAAACAGGCAAGGCCCATCTGCCCCAATGTATGCACATGCAAGCGTCTATTTCATCTCAATGCACGATGTGTTAATCCCCCGCCCCGCCCCCACCTCCTTCTTCCTCCTCCTCTTCTTCCTCGTCCTCCTCATCCTCCTCTTCCTCCTGTGCTGCTACGCTGAACCTGCCCCTGCTGCGCGCTGTCCGCGGGGCCGACCTTGCCGGACTCTCTGCCCCCAACACCGCTGCCACTGATGGGTCCACAGACTGCAGCGTAGCCTCTAGCGTCTGCGCAGCTTCTGTGCCCTCTGTTGCCACGGCAGGAGCCGCCAAGTCTTCGGCCCCGCCTGAAGCAGGAGCAGAGGCCGGACTATCCTTGTTGCCGCCTGCTTCAGCCATGGCCCCTGCCGTCACCGCTCGCGGCTCTACAAATTTGGCAAATGCGCCACTGGCACAAGTGTACAGAAGCGACACAAAGCAGCCAAAAGGACACACACACGGACAGTACCGTACTAAAACTTAAAGCCTCCATGCTGCTGCACTGTCTGCACAGAATCGTGCAACTAGGTGCGGCAAACTTTCATTTGGCGACCCGCAACCCCCGGGCCTTGACCGGACGGGGCGGCAGTTCGGACGGCACGGGACGGTTGCCTATTCTGAGGCTATTCTGGTCCAGAAGAAGCTGTCGGAGCCTGCCGGAGCGGCGGCCCGGGCCCCACTGCCGCGGTAACGGCACAGCTGGTTGTCCGTCTACACAAGTCGGCCGCCTCCATCGCTTCTCCCTCTTTCAGCCTTCCTCTGCAACGAGAGGGCGTTGGCAGGCGCTGCGAGGGGTGTTGGCAGCCATGGCGGACCAGGTGAGGAGACGGGGGACGGGCAGCAGGCTGGAAAAGGATGACGCTGGGATCGTCTGCGTAGTTCTGGCGGTTGCTGTGCATGATCAGCAAGAGATGGAGGCCCCAATTGTCGTGCCGCGCACTCATCCCCGTCTCGCTTCCGGCAACAGTGTCTCTCTTGTGTGTCTCTATGGCTTGGCCTCAGGTTTTTTGCAGCACAATTTCGAGATAGCACGGACTTTGCGGGGTGCGCTGCTCGCCTGCGACCGGCAGTTTTTTGCAAGTTAGCAATCTGACATTTCCTCTTCGTCCCTGTGGCAGACGGAGAGAGCTTTCCAGAAGCAGCATGGCGTGTTCCTCAAGTAAGACCGCCCATCCAGCCCTCACCTGCAGTTCTCCATCTGTGCTGTGGTCTGGCCCCATGTGTGCTGTCCGCTGTGGGCCTTTACCGCTCCTCCAGCAGTGGTCGCTGCTGCTTGGCCTTCATGTCTTGGCTGGACCACAGGCTGGCCTCCCTGAAGGACTCTATTCCAGTTCTGAGCGCGGTCTGTGTTGTGCAGCGCCAAGAAGGCTGCCAAGGGCATCACCCCAGGCAAGGCAGGCAGGCGCTACTGGAAGAACGTGGGCCTGGGCTTCAAGACGCCCCGGGAAGCCATTGAAGGTGAGTTGCTCCTTGCACTTGTTGCACACAAGCATGCTGTGCCCAGGACTGAGCAGGAAACAGTTTGCGGGTGAGCGGCTGTGCGGGAGAAAGTCCAGGTGCTTTGGTGCCCCTGGTCGCAGCAGGTATGCACCTGCACCTTGGCAGCAGCGTGGCTGGATGAGGTCGATCTACCATGTGTGCTGGGGAGTAAGCTGTTGCTAAGGCTGCGGCAAGTGTTCGTCAGGAAAGGCTTGGAAGCAGGACATGGCGACAGTTAGAGCTGCTATGCGCATGCGTGTGCCTATACAGCAGCTGTAGAGGAGGGGGCTTGATGTTGAAGGGGCAAAGACGAAGCAGGGGGCAGGACGGACAGGAAAGACAAGATCTTTCAGGAGAAAGGAGCATAATCCGGTAATGGTGCACCCCTGGCTGCGGCGCTTAGCCCAGCCCAGTAGCAGAGGCCAAAGCAGGCACTAGTCACTCGCCAGCAAAGGGCGCTCGCATAATGGCGATTGGATACCGGAAGAAAGCTCGTCCAATCTACTGTGCCTGAGCTGGGGAGCACAGCTATGCACAAGCACTACGGGTTGCTGGCCTACTGCTCGGCAATTTGGCCGTCCGAGGACTCTAGCTTGGTCCATGCGTCATTCCTTTGTCAGTTCCTAAGGGGTCCCTCATCACAGAGAGGCACTGCCAGCGGTGGTTTCCTGTCGTCCTGCACTGCGGAGCCTGGGGGTGGTCCTCAAGCGGCGGTTGCTGTGTGTGCGGTGCAGGCACGTACATTGACAAGAAGTGCCCGTTCACGAGCAACGTGTCCATCCGGGGCCGCATCCTGAGCGGCGTGGTGTACAGCACCAAGATGACGCGCACCATCACCATCCGCCGCGACTACCTCCACTTTGTCAAAAAGTATCAGAGGTGAGCGCCACCGCAGGCGGGCAGGAATTGCGAGGGGAGCAGAGGGCTGCATGTACTGCGGGGGTCGCTGACGCTGAAACGTGGGCGGTCTGAGTAGCCTGGCAAAGTTGCCCCGGAGCAAGGCAGCAGCGGCCAAAACAAGCCGTGAAAAAAGGTGCTACACAAAGGGTACTTATGGAACTCAAAAAGAGTGATGAGGGAGCTCTGTTGCTTTTTGCGTCCATTCGCCATATTACTTGTTTAGAGCTCTGGAGGGAAGCATCTGTGGGTCTCTGATTTGTGGGTCGCTCATCCGCTTCGCGCAGATACGAGAAGCGGCATTCTATGCTTGCGGCGCACGTCTCCCCGGCCTTCCGTGTCAAAGCCGGCGATGTGGTCATTGTGGGGCAGTGCAGGTGAGGGAAAGGGGTGCAGGGAGGGGCCGGTGGGCTCTTGACATATGCAACAGCTTGGGTCTTACAAGGCGCTTGCTGTTTTGTGTTGGCAGGTGGCAAAGGATCAGTTGGATGTACCTCTTGATCCACATCAATCCGAGCAACCACCTGTAGGATTTAAGAGCAAGGAAGCTGCCTTTCAATCTGACACCTTGTTGCGGCATCAAGGGAATGGCCTTTTGTCCAAGGCTGCTGTTGGAGTTTGATTTTGCTAAGGTGACGTATACAGATGTGCTGATTGTTTGTGTGTCTGCATGTGTACAGGCCTTTGTCCAAGACGGTTCGCTTCAACGTTCTCAAGGTGATTCCCATGGGCACTTCGGATGGTGGTACAGGAAAGAAAGTGTTTCAAGCTCAATAATCAACGTTAAGGACAAGTGATTCCCATTGTGTGCAACCTGTATCGTCCGTGGTAGAGGGCATCGATGCAGCACCATAATTGGGCGAGTGTCATGATAGCATGCATTGTGAGCATCATGGATGCGGCCAGATTGTTTGGGGTATCCTTGCAATCAAGTACGCCGATATGGGCTTGCCAAAGCCTTCAAGCGGCATTGTTTGATGCATATTGCTGCGTACTGCTTGTCATCCAATGGAAGTTAGGCACATCGCCATTTGGCAAAGCACAACGAACGAACTTTACCAATGTACCTTCGTGGGTTGTCCACCTATCATAGTTAAAACAAATCTTCCAATGCCCAAATGGTCACTTCTTTTAATACACGCTTAGGCGCCCGGGCCCATGGCGCAGAAACAAGCAATTTCGGAGTTCGGGCTTCATCAAAAAATGTTCAACTATTCTGGTTACCAAGCACGAATCCTAAAGTGAGTCAACATAGCTATCAATGGCATGACTATTTGAACTATCGGGTATAAAGTCACTAGCTTCAACTATTCCATTGGTTCGAGCTTTAAAAGAGTATCATTGTCTAGCTAATTTAAGTTAGGAGGCTTCTACTCCAAGTTAGTTTTCCTTCTTGTCTGGGCCGTTGTTGGCGTTCGGTGTAAACTAGAGCAGCAACTCAGCGCAGCGCCTCGGTAACTGGAGCAGACACTCCGCCGGCAGACGCTTGAATGATGCGGGTGCCGTGGCTGAGCTAGTGCGCGCCGTCGTCCCCTAGCCGTGGCGGCACGTAGCTGCGTAGTCAACACGAACCTTGAAAGTCCTCAGAGGCATGTGCATGCAGGCCCGCAGTGCCAAACGTAGGTAAATTAAGTAAATATACGAGCGCGTGTTCTGTTCAACGTCTGTAAATTGCGGACTACATGCATTCGAGTAGAAGCGGGCAATTGGGATTGGTATCGTGGTACGTAGCCCAATATGGCTGATGCGAGATTAAAGGTGACCCAAATCATCATGTGAAGGATCCAACTTGGCAAGGCAAAGGGTTGAGGTCAAATTTGAGAACTAGATTCATGTTATGACGGTTGTAGCATTAATTCCGTTCCAATCTTATAAGTCCATATGTTGTCCCACTATACCACCAGGCACGATTGAGTAGGGCCGCCCTTTGTGTCCGTTGCATCAAACAAGGTACAAAATAACCGAAATATTCGCCCTTAAAAATGCTGTCGTTCGTCAAACAAAAAGTTCTTCTTGAAATCAGAAGCGTCTAAAACGGCGTGTATTTCCCTCACCCTTTCGATCATTTCGTCCGTAACCTCGCGGTTTTCTTTGAACCTCGTCATGATGCAGTTTGCCTAGATCCTTGGAACATAATGTAGCATGCCTACCGACGTAAGTACATCATTTTTATGACTTAAAGCTCTAACCTCGAGAACCGTGACGTAAGGGACGCTGGTTTTATGCAACAAGCCTAAACACTCGTTAACCTAGGGTTAAATGTATCAACATGTTTGTCATCACTACCCCCTGCCAATGCAAGTACACGCTGGCGTGTCGCTTCTTTTGGGCCTACCAAAAAACGTGGGACTGCAATCATCATATGTCCAGAACTGAACTTACAATGTTCTCCTTAACCGAACCTACCCGGCGTTACAATCGTAAGGCTAAACTCGGAGAATACTCAATCGAATTGTTAACCACACTGAGTCCTACCACCTTAATTGGGCTTCATGCATGCATGGCTGACGCGGATGCGACATTGAACCCATCTTCATCTTCCATAATTGTTGCGGAATCATAGCTGCATATTCTAGGTCGCCCATCCGGGAATTGTTACTTTGCCTGCGCAACTTCTGCATCGGGCTTGCGGTGCCCTCTGCGTCGCCTCTCGCTTCTGGTTGGCCGCCCTTAAGACTGACGCAAGATCTCCACTGTTCGCTGGCGCCGATTCTTCCGCGAGTTCTGATTGATCTTGGGCACCCCCTTGCCAATGCACTCACATGGGTTGCCATGCTAATTGGAAGTCTCGTCACTAATCTCAACCACAGGGGATCCCAGCGGCCAGCAAAGTCACATCAGCAGGTCTATCAAATGATAAAAGCAACCTACGGTGTCCAGTCCCTTAAGATATTGTTGCTCGTTACTATGGCCTAACAAGCTCCTCAAGTGCCGCCTGCCCCCTTCCGACAACCGACGAAAGATCCGACTATTTTGTAGAGCGCAGCCTACGACCGAAGGTGGACGTTTTCCTCGGATTAATCTCTCGGATTTCAAAGGGGCCGCAGCTTGAAAGGCGCCATGATTGCATATAAGCTTTAGACTAAGTTTGGAATTGAAAGCACTTTCATCGAGCTTAGAACTTGACGGCAGCTCCTGAAGCTAGGAAGCTCAAAGCTCCCAGCTCGGAGCACTACCGGACATGCACAGCCCATGCATGGGTAACTGCATGTATATTGCATGTTACTGCATTTAAGAAATGTAGCTCAAGAGATCATCTAATATCGACGACTGCTATGTTATCTACCGATTTGATCCTCATCATTCATTGAATCGACTTTGGCAAGTGGCTGGACATCGGCCAATGCGACTCTCCATCCATGATATCTCAAAACTTTGAAGCGGCGGTCGGCGAGGCCAGGTAGAGGAACGGTTCGTTTTCAAATCGTGAAACTTCGTACTCCATACATAGTCAACCGTCTTCCAACGAAACCTCTAGTCGATAATCCTCCAAGCTTAAGGGCGCCTTAGCCTATGGACTCCTTTCTTGATGTTTTTGACGGGAATCCGATTCAGGCTCGCACCCCAACTGTCAGGATCTGACTGAGACTCGGCGGTAACGAGCGCCAGTGGGCGCTTCCACTGCTCGATCGTTACCATGGCTGCCTTCCTAACCACCTCCAAGCAACCTACGTCCACTAACTGCGGTCACTGCGGCCCACCCAGCACGCGGCTCCTAGCTGAACTCCTTGCCTCATCCCCTACACGCTTATAAAAACGTTCTCACTCCTTAAGTGTATGGAACACCTACGCAAACGCGTCTGGTGATAAATTTCTTAGAGAGAAGGTGGTGTAAAGGTTTGAAACAGGAATTCATGGACCACATGTCTCATTCATGTAACCGACTTGCATGTATACTGTAGATCCCTGTATGATACAATGAGCCACGGACGTTGCACGCTAGACCAATGCACATGCGTGAACCCAGTCGGCATGCCCGTTTTTAATCCGACCATCCAACAATAATTATGCTCGGGATTTGTGACGAGTTCGCACAGTACTACACTGCGCTAATAATATCATTGGCAATGCGGGGTGCGAGCACCTATATTCAAGATGATCCGCCGAGGGAGGCTCGAAGACTAGAGCGCTTAATGATCCAAGCCCCCCTTCGAGAGCGAACCTCTGAATTGTCGCGAAATGAACAGATCGATTAGAGGCGGGGGCCCGCGTAGAGGGAGTGGAGTAGCAGTTTGCCGTGCCCATCTGCACTGGGCTTACTTCTTATCACACCGTACCATGGGGGGCAAAGTAATATAACCACGTACATTGGTGAGCCATAACTTACTGTGGGCCTTATTGTACGGTGATCTCATGTGCCATGCAAAAATCGAACTTGACTGTTGATGCAAGGAGCGATGTCACGCTGCATTCAGAATTCCCCTGCAACGTCAGCAAGGTGCTTGTTGATCCAACGTTTGATGGTAGCGTCAGCTCACACGAAAAGGTTTGATTACCCTCGTTCTGCGTGTGCCCATCTTTCCGCACCACGCCAAAGAGCTTTCAAATGGGTACTCTGACCGGGTGAATAAATTCACATCGTCTTGCTGTCTTGCTTAGCAAAAGTTGATCTTTCATCTTCCGCTTTCTGGAAAGTAGAATATGGGCGACCCAAGCGTGATCAATGAGATGAAACCAAGCTTATATATCGAGTTGCTTTGCTAAGCAAGATTGTTTTGAGACCTTGGTGAAGGGCATGAAAGAGTGCGATTTAGCACCTTCATCGCGTCTCCACCAAGATCATGTTGTATAGCTGATCAAGACAATCTTATATCTAGGCCAACTCGTTTCATAATCTGTAAAACTGAGGCTACGACAGCCATGCACCCTTGACGAACGCACATGCGTACGGACCATAATTGGGTGTTTCGGGCCTTAAACTCGGTAATCATGGACGTGGTCCCGAGCATTGTCTTGTATGCCAGTGGTCGCACCGATACGGCGAAGCGTCCGTATCTGACGCTATGCATTCTTACAAGGGAGATCGGCTTACGAACTGGCGGTGGAGTTGGTGAAACTGGCCGACAATGCGAGCTGGGAGTCTGCTAACGCGCATGGTCATCAATATTGACCAACACCCCGGTTGATCCCCAATGAAACCTTTTGATTTCCGATATTTGAAGACGGACCAGGTTAACTTAGATTGTTTGTGGGTCTACTTTTATCCACATGAGTCAAATCTCATCAAACGGTTCCGTCTGTATCTTGTTAGTGCTTCGTCCAAAAGGATCTTTAGAAAACGTTCTAGCGGGACGCTCTGCACCCACAAAGTTTGTCATTCGGCTTTCTCTTTGCGGCCCCCGAACAAACTCAAGATTGAAAGACCGGTCTATAGTAAAGACAAGTTTAAGACTGAGCTGTGACACTGAGGATTTGATTCATTGTTGGACAATCCACCCGATTGTGACACGTGGCAGATCATTGTGGTGGATAGGCCGTTCTTTCGAAATCAGTGAAACTACGGACACGGCCGCGCTAATCTTCATAGTCACAGAGCCTGCAAACATTGAACAATATTTTCGTCAAAGATGAATGAAAGCTGGGTTACAAAAACTCTTTTGTAGGTATTTATAGAGTCTTCAACTCCGCACTTTGACTCGGACCGGCCGTATTCACGCGGCACTCCGGCTAGGCCTCGGAATCCACCGAGTACTTCGCCCAGCCTGGGGTATAGTACCGCATGTAACGCTTGAGCTAGGCCCAATC